CCACGATTGACAAACTTGAATTGGAATATGCGGTTTTGGGCGTCGCTTCAACGCACCCAAAGATTGGGAAGCATGCAAAAGATGCTTCAGAACCACCTTGGTTCTCACTCCGGCAGATTTAAATAGTAAAGAGCTGTAAGTCATTTAGGGTTTAGGGATGAGTTATATGTGGTTATTAAATATGGGTGAAAACCAATAATTACAAGATGGAAAGAGATGAAAACATAAGAAAAGGTTAATAACCTTGTTTAAAAAAATGTTTTTAGAATAGGTAGGAAGATAACAATATAAATGTCTATTACACTTGTTCTACATCGAAATAAAAAACCAAAACAAAAACAATAAAAGCACTTTTTTGTTTTTGATGATGGTCAACTTTACAGGTTCTTTGTTTGCAAATTTAGTAAAAACTAATATGGGAATCAAACAAACTACATTGAAGAATGGAATATGTGTAATTATTTATTTTTTACATTCACTTCTAATTTTGAGTTTTATGTTCATTTGCTTTCATGAAATAAGCACTTACTTTTGGCTTAAGAAATTTAGGCAAATATTAAATCAACATAGTTAAATTTTAAATTGATCCATTAGTTGTGTATTTTTTTTTTTTTTTTTTTTTTTTTTTGCTTTGCCCCTATGAGTCCTAAACCCTAAAACGTGCTTCACTTTGTAGCTTGCATTTCATGCATGTTTTGCTCCTATCCACCTCTCCTTCATTGCTTCTAGCGTGTCATTTGTTTTGAAGCTCTACAATTACCATGGTTTATATTTTTCATTCATTGCTTTGCAAGAATTGAAAATTTTAGTGTTGTGAAAACTGTTTCTAGAATTGGATTACAAATTCTAGCTGTCTTATGTGACACATGACAATAATAATAAAGGTGGATCAATTTAAGATTTTCCAGATCAATTTAATATTCCACTAAGTGTAGTAATTAGTTGCAACTAAATTAACACTACACAGTTGATCACTTAGAGCATCGAATTTGAACTTCCAAAGAGCTAACATGGTCAATCCGTGCCACTTCCTGTCGTGAACTCGAGTTAAAGTGAGATTTCCACGGAAAGATCGATTAAAGGTCTTGTGTAGTTTCTAGCAGATTCACATGTCGTGATGAATCCATTGCCGAAACATCGCAGAGTACCATTACAAATGGGCAAAAATGCTTCACAAATCCACCTTCAGATAGACTCTTTCCCACCCACCTGACACACACGAAGCACCCTGCAACAAAATTTCCTGCATGCCCACTGCCCTGAAGATTCTGCCGACGTCGATCTTCTGTCGGGGATGTCTTTCCAGAAGAGTTTCCCCTGGAGAGAGACACTCTGTTCATGGAAACGCCGTCTTGGAAACTTACCGTTCTCAGACCAGTTGGCGCAGGAGCACTGTCGAGAAAACGGCCGGGGATCGGAGTAGAATCCAAGCACTTGGGTGGCGATGTGCAAGAATCCTGTGCATCGTGAAACGTTCCTTGACATTGCGGCTCGGTGCAACAATGCTCAGAGGAATTGCCCGTGTCATTGTGGTTGGAGCACAAGCATGAGCACCAAGGTCAAGGACTACCTGCAGTTGCAGTGCTGAAACGCCGTCGACAATGGGGGTGAAAATGAAGCCTTGTGTGCGAGTTTGAGCCACAGTTGTGGTGGAACTTTGTGCTCAGACACAGCCTACAATTGAAGGTTCGGGCTATGTCGATCTCTCCCTTTTTCACTGGCGTTGCTTTTCCCTTCTTACAATAGCATCCCATTGTTTATTCAATATATATATATATATATATATATATATGTATGTGCGTGTGTTTTTTTTCTCTCTCTTCAAACAATGAGGGCCACTTCATACTATGGTTGTTTGGTAAAGCACATCTTGGACAATTTCACTTCAAAGTTGGGCAAAAAGTTAATGTAGAAGTTTATTAAAATATAATATATATGATCTTTGGTTTGTTTGTTCAATGGAGAATTGGGTTTTATTCTTGTCCAATCCAATTTCTTGTTGAGCAAATAACTCATTGGTGCCAAAATTGCCATAAAGTATTACCATGTCAATGCTTTTGACCAAAACGTTTATTTGACATTTGTTATTTGCCTCTAGTATGAAAATTAAGTGGTCAATGTTTTTCTTTTTATCTCTCCACTAATCATATTGCTTAAATCCTTTGTCTACTTAACAATCAACAATAATGTGAATTGGCTCTAAGAATTAACCATGTGATAAGATCCAATTGTGTTGAGGTGCATTAAGTGTAGTTGGAATTTTGTAGTTTGGATTCAAACTACCAATTTTCTTTTTAGAATTGTTTTGGATTTTTTTTGAGGTACTAGTTTTTATTCTTAGAAAGTTCAAGATCTTTTTGAACTAATGCATATTAATTTTTCAGTATAAAATTTTGTATTAATATCATCTTATTGTGCTTCTTTTTTGTCTTTGACTCATTGTCATGGTGTTAATTTACTTTGGTCATCTTGGAAGCATAATACTAACAATAGATTTGTTTTTTTATTTTTTTTATTTTTTTCCATCCATCTTTGTTGTCATGCAAATCCGTCCAATGTTTACAATGATTTTTTTTTAGTTAGCATAAACATAAATTAGTCTAGATGAGAATTAACAACTCTTGTCTTTTTTGGTTGATTAAATAAATATCAAATATGAGGTTTTGTATTGAGTTTTATTATACATACACTATGACTTGAAAAACCATAAAATTTTTGTTGTATATGTGTGGTCTTGAATATAGATTTTAAAGATTTTAAGATAGTTGATAAATAAGATAGTTGTGTACTTGCAATGATTTGTTTATTTCAGTTAATGTAATTAAAGAGAATACATAGATTTCACATTCTAAAAACAAAATCATTACAAATTTTATTATATTTTTCTATTGACATTAAATAGCAAATATTTTTAAATGTAAATTAAATATAGATTTTAAATTTTATTTATGTGGTTCCAGTTATTTATGTATATATATATACATATATATGAACTCATTCCTGAAACAGAATTGTCATTGTGTACATATAAATAAATTCACTCTTTAACCAAAAAATATCTTTCATAAAATAAGAACATGAAATGAGTCTTGAATTCTTACAATGCATGTCTGTTGTTTAATAATAAATAAGTTTTAATAAAAACATACTAACAACTGGCTTGCCTTTTGAGCCTAATAATTTGGAGATGCTTGTCTTGTTGAGTCTCATGAAACTTCTGGTAGGCCAAAACAACCATAAAATAATACCTTTAACTTATAGTAGCTCTAAACTATTAATTGCCAACACAATAGTACCATATGGAAACCACTTAAATACATAATGTTTCAAATAAATTACACATGCATGAAAAATTTCTTTTAACACATATCATGTTTTTTAATATGAATTCTTTTTAAAAAATAACTTTTATAAATATTAAAATTTAACTTAATTAAATTCTAATTTTAAAGTGGGTATTCTTTTGAAATCAATTTAGCTTGTTAGAAAATGCAATAGTAAAATATTGAATTGAAAAAATTTGGTTTAAGTTATGTATTTACAAAATCATTATAGTTTGTGAAACAAAATGAATAAATATAAATATATACATATATATCACATAGGTTTTAATATTTTTTAATATTATTCAACTTCAGATCTGTGTAAAAAGTGTGATACAAAGAAAAATAATAAAAATTAAAAAAATCAAAAACAATAAGTATAATTTTAAAGAACACTTTGAAAACTTTGCACTTGTTTATTTAGATAATATTATGCTGTATTCTAAGAATAATAAATACACAAATTTTACGTGCATCTCATATTGAAAAAATTAAAAGAATAAGAATCACATGTCATAAAAAAAATTATTTAAGCTTTTATATTAAGTTATACAACACAATAGAAGTCAAATTATATTTTACATATGGAAGAAATTAAAATATTATTTTTTAAATTGTAGAGAAGTTTGTGATGTGAAGGTTCACAATGGTTTTAATTTGAAAAAGTCTCAATCATTATTCAAAGAAAATCATATTTTTATTTATTTGAGATACAAAAGTAGGATTTATTTACATATTTTTTTTTGTCAATTTATATATTAAGCATTTTGCTTGAAGAAATTCACCTTTTTAAAGTTTAATAACTTTATTCACTCCACTGTTGATTCCTTTTCTCAATATTTTACTTTTACTTTTTCTCTCTTTCTTCCATCAAAAATTACTTACTACTTAGTTCTATGCATTTAATGTATTTAATTAAATTTAATCTCTTTTATTATACGAACATATAGTGATGTTATTATTGTTGTATTATATACATCTACTTGTAATGTATGGAAATTGATGTCTCTATCATTGTTTATTATATTCAGTGAGGTTCTAAGATTGAATATAATAAAGGTATTTCTCAAAGTATACCCAACTGCATCTTCTATACCTACTAGTAAAAAAACAATATTTATTTGTCTAACAATAATTTTATTTGTCTTTTAAGATACCAACTTTTGCTTTCTTGGATCCCAACCACATTGCCCACTTTAAAAAAAAACTATATTACAAAGACAAAAAATGTACATCTTGAGTTCTTATAGTAGATCCAATTTGTAAATTTCCTTCATGACCTTTTCTATTATTCTAAAAATAGATCAAAATTATGTTAGGAGTGAAGTCACTTGTAAAAATTTGGGGTGCGTGATGCTTCTGGCCGCATTCTAAACATCACATTAAAATTTCACACAATTCAAAATGTTACATAATTTCACGTACATACATCAAAAAGTGACAATAAGGTGTACAAACACACCATGAATGAAAACGGGCACAAAGAACATGCAAGAGAAACAAATTCCACACGGGTTTAGGAGGTTTAGGAGGTTTAGGAGAGGGCGTGATCCCGTGGACGTGATCCCGGGGGACGAGAGGGCGCCGTCGGACGGTGCAGGGGATTTCGTTGGACGAGGGCGATCGTGGGATGGTGGCGAGAAAGGAAGCAGGGCGGGGCGAGGAAGAAGGTCAGGGCACTAAGCGCTGTGTGGGTGTGTGTGAGAGTGTGTGTGTGTGAGAGCGAGAGAGCTATAGAGAGACTCACTCTTGCCTGGGTTGCGAAGGAATCCGCTTCGCGTGCCCGCTACCCCGTGCAGACCGCTCTCTCTCGCCATGGCCCTGGGACGTGGAGACGACGAGCAGGCGGCGCCCGAAAGCGGCCGCAACGCCGCGGAGCTTATCGCGCAAGACAATGCCGCGCCCGCGCCCTCGACTGCGCGCGCCAATTTGTCCAGCATCATGCCCGGATGGTTCTCGGAGATTAGTCCCATGTGGCCAGGTGCGTCACTTGGTTTCCAGCTCAAACTGAACTAGTACGTGGCGCAGGCTTTGCTTTTGTGTTGTCTCTGGTTTGCCGGTTTTTCTGGAATGGTACTTCGGTGTTGGAGTTGGGGTTGGCGAGAGGTGAGGATATGGTTTTGTGTTTTTTTGTTTGTGTGTGTGTGTGTGTGTGTTTTTTTTTTCTTCCGTTCTCTTTTGGCTGGAGTGCGTGACTGCGTGATACAGTGTGTGTTCATTGGTTAGTTCGTGTGGCAGTCGCAGGTTGCGGCGCCGTTGTTGCGCCTGTATATTGTGGGTTCTAGTTGAGATGTTGTGTGATGTCCGGGGTTTTTCTTTCAGAATTTGGGAGTATTTTTGTTGTCTTTTTTCTGGTTTCTGTTTCTTTTTCCTTTCCTCTCGAATCTATGGCTGCGTACATGTTTGTTTGGTGGAATCATGGAAGGTGTTTCTGCTAACATTGGCTGTTTTATATCATGAGTTTAGAATTCGGTATACGTACAATATGTTGTTAGGGCTTTGTGGTCCCCAATTTTAGGATGCCTGGATGGACTTTCAGTAGCGATGTATAGATTGGGAATTCGAGAAATGAGGTTTCCAGCTTAATTGAGCTGCTCGCCGTGCTGCGTCATAAATTTGTACCTTGGTATTGTGCTCGGGTTGACTCTTTCTTTTTGTAGTAAACTTTTATGAGAGTAGGTTCTGTGCTTTTATCGTCCGTTGTCGTAGGATTCGATGCTTGATCCCAAATAGTCCTAATTTGTGTGCGTTATGGAGTCCACAGCAACAGTTTTACGGTGTGCAAATGTTACGTTTGCAAGGAGCTATTTAAGTCTGCTGCTGGTTCGAGGCAGTGCCAGGCATTAGAATTTGTACGAAAATCATCTGCTGAATTTGTGCATTGCTTATTTTCTCCTGGGTTGTGGTAATCCGTGATTCGTGCAACTTCCTTCCTCATACTGCCTTTCTTGGGTGCGCTGTTGTGGCTAGATGGTTTGGATAGGACATTTTCAACTTCTGAAGACTCATTGTATTATACAAGATGACTAAGCATTTTTGGGCTTTTGATTAAACCGGCGTTGTTGGTTTTACGTTGAAGGTTTGAAAACGGGCTTGCTGAATTTGCTGACTTATTTGCTGGCTGAAGACCTTTATATCTTTGACCGGCTTGAACTGTACACTTTCGTAATTTCTTATCTAAGTTTTGGGATCGTTTCTCTCATGTGATGCAGGTGAAGCGCATTCTTTGAAGGTAGAGAAATTTTTATTTGAAGGCAAGTCAGACTATCAAGACGTTGTTGTCTTCGAGGTGAGTGACAAGAATGAATGGAGTAATTTACGCTTCTGAAGGTTTAGTGATGACAGGGTCTTGCCAGTAATACCCGTTACTGTGCTGTTGCGATGTTCATTGCGCTCAATTTAAGTAGGAGCTGTTCAAGGCTCTGATTTGGTACCTTTATGCCAAGAAAATTAGTCGATGGCCGAGTGCGAATCATTTTGTTCAAACAGTTGACAGATGATGTAGTTTTTCTTAGGATATGCCAACACAGCTTTCGCATTGGCGTCAGAAATTGGGATTGTTAACCACCTTTGAAATTGGGCTGTTTCTACAGTCAGCTACCTACGGGAGGGTTCTCGTTCTGGACGGTGTGATTCAGCTCACCCAGCGCGACGAGTGCGCCTACCAGGAGATGATTACTCATCTACCCCTTTGTTCAATCCCGAATCCTAAGAAGGTAGATTTCTACCATTTCTTTTGTAAGTTAAAGCCGTCGTAGATTAGAATGTGACTTGGATGATTACGTTGGGTGTGTGGGAACATTGGGTTATTAATCATATTACACTGTGCCTAAGCCTATGAACCCCGTGCATATATCTTTCGTGACATCTTATGGTGTGCTTGATTGGGAGGCAGGTGCTAGTGGTTGGCGGAGGTGACGGAGGGGTGCTAAGGGAGATTGCTCGACACAAATCTGTTGAACAGATTGATATTTGTGAGATCGACAAGTTAGTTGTTGACGTGAGTTCATTCTTCTTTAATTTAATGACCAAATTTGCGTGTAGCCATCAAGTTTTTTCTTTCTTTATATTTATATTTATTTTATTTTATTTTAATTTTATTGTTGCGTGTGTGTTTCTTCTAATTTTTTTCATGGAAGATCTGTTTTGACTGTTTTTGAATCCTTGTCTGTCAAAAGATTTTCTCGACCAATTTTTAATTTAAACTTTAAATAATGTATACCATAACCAAATAGAACAAGAACTAAAAATAAAAGTGGAGATCTTGAAAGAATTAGCTTTTACCAAAATCTGACCATGCATCTCTCGCAGGTAGCGAAAGAATTCTTCCCTGATGTTGCTGTAGGATTCGAGGACCCTCGAGTGAACCTTCATATTGGAGATGGTACGATCATCGTGCTGAATTTGGACCTGCTACAATAGTGCTATTAGTGTGGGCACTGGTCTGTGAAGACATTTCTTGGGTTCCGTTTCACTTCTGAGCTTCTGCAAGTAGTAGCTCGTACATATTCACACTTTATGGATTACGTGATTTAAAACTTTTTGATATTTTTATTTTAGGAACATAGCATTTTAAAAAATTAACGTTGTTTTTGCATGATTGTAAGCTATTTATTGTTCATGACTTCACAAGTATAGATTAACCATGTAAGTTGGTGTGTTAAGCGAAGTTAGTGATACTGAGATCAAATGTATCTGATTGTGATTGTCATTGTAGGAGTAGCATTTTTGAAGGCAGTTCCAGAAGGGACGTATGACGCCATCATCGTCGATTCTTCTGATCCTGTTGGTGGGTCTATTTCTTTTGACTAAATGAATGATCCTTGCTTGCGAGAATAGAATGTAGGTAGCTACAAGTTGCCTAGCCCTAAAACTGGTCATATTTAAGTCCTATCAATCAGTTCAAAATCTGTGCCTCATGTATGGAAATTTTGTCGATTGTAGAGTAGGTCTTCTGATTGAAAACATGGTGGTACAGGTCCTGCTCAGGCTTTATTCGAGAGGCCATTTTACAAGACATTGGATCGAGCGTTACGACCAGGAGGTGTTATTTGCACACAGGCAGAGAGCCTTTGGCTGCACATGCCCATTATCAAAGATATTGTTGGAGCTTGCCGTCACACCTTTAAGGGTTCTATCAACTATGCATGGACTAGTGTTCCAACCTATCCAAGGTGAGTCCATCACTGTTTTTTCGAAATTTCTTTGCAGCTTGTCCTGTTGCGGTCTGTAAGTGAACTTTGGTACATACATGCAACATCCTCATGGTAGGAAAATGCTTTTTTAGCTGCTTGTAATCTTATCATTTTACCAAATTCAAGTTGTGGAGCTTCTTCTGTGATGTTTGCGAAAGTCTGAGTTAACGTTTTGGATTTTTCATATGGGTTCTCTGTGGTAGCCTTAAGAGACTGGTGAAAGACTTTTGCTCTATTTGGTACTAACTGAGTTCCATTGGGTATGTAGTGGGGTGATTGGTTTTATGCTTTGCTCTACTGCCGGTCCAGCTGTTAATTTTCGAAAGCCATGCAACCCAATAGATCAAGCTGTGGATCCCAATCATTATTCCAAGCGTCCACTCAAGTTCTATAACTCAGCTGTCAGTGTTTCCTGTCTTTTTCTTGCTGCTTGATGAGCACATTGTATGCTGCATGAATTCAGTTGAAGTTATGAAAGCGTTTCGTAGTTAGTTCAGAGAACTCAGGATGCATTTCATGTAAGCCATCTTGTAGTGAAAATTTCCCTAGTTGATCTGAATCCGATAGATCTTATTCATTTTACCTGAGAACCCTGAAACACCAGAAGTTTCGGAATGTCCTGACAGTGTCGGTGTTTGGTGATGACAGATGCATGAGGCAGCGTTCTCGTTGCCTCAATTTGCCAGGGAAGAATTGGAACATTTGCTCACACCACCCCCAACCTCTTAATTGAGAGCTTTATATATTGTGCCTCATCCCATCGCTTCTTTATAGGGTAGAACACATGGCACAATCTTGTATGAGCAGTTCCGGCGGTATTTTCAAATACGTTTGCTATACATGCTATATATTTCCATCTACATTGTGATGGAGGGAAGTTGTGAATTTCTTTCCGGTTCAAACCTTCCGATCTACTTAATATTATCAGTCACAGACCTATTTGAAACCTGTAGGGCCAACTTTTGGTTAAGAAGCCTCAGATTGTGGGTTGTGATTTTATCATATGCGGTTCTTAGCCTGCACAAAATTTAGAGGTTTTTGTTCTTTTTCATGGTATCATGCGTGGCCTATGAGAACTTTAGACTTAGTTTAAACCCATGTCTCAATTTCGTGTCACTGAAAAGTTGCCTCCGACGTTGTGCACTGTTGCAAGTTAGTAACGAAATATTTTGACGGTGTTAGGCATGAGACTCCAGTATGCAACATATCACCTGGAAAGGACTTAGAATTGCCGAATATGTGGTAAAAGGTGGATGAAAGCATTTGATTGTTAGAGATGTAACAACTTTTTTCAATTTTTTAACTATCTTTTCAATTCTGTTGGTGCAGATAGAGCTACACCATGAATTTAGAATCTTCCAAAGTTGTCAACTCTTCTAAAGTGTTTTGTCATTCATTTAGATTTTGATTGAAGGTCACTAAAAGTGTTAACAAACAAATACAACGAAATGTTGAGAAATGATTTGAATAAAAGTTTTTGAAGTAAGTGTTTTTAATTTTACAATGAAAAGCATAACCAAGGGGATGTCTATTAAATTTGTTTCTGGAAAAATATAAAGCTTTTAGTGATGGAGGGTCTATGCCTTGTTATATGGTTTAGTTTTTCAATAACAATACCAAGTCTTAATTCATTCTAATTTTGAGCCAAGTAATTCAAAATTTGTAAATAATGAACTCAACTAAAGTTTTTTGTATCTATAAAAAAAATTGAATTTGTAAAGTTTTTAAATTTTGATTATTTTAACCTATTTATCAGTAAATTTAACACCAATATTTTTAATCTAGTGAAAATATATTGCTTTACACTTTAAAAGAATCTCAAAAATATCATGCAACTAATGTTTATATATTTGTTTTTCATTTATTTGTTCATAAAGATCACATCAGCAAGCATTTATTTTTTTAATACCTATTACTTATTCTAAATTACGTAGACGTCTTTAAATTCTTGTAAAAAAAATAACCTTGCATCCAATACTAATGCAAACCAAACCTTAAAATATGTAGATACATATATCTATATATTCATATCAATATACACATAATTTGTTTAAGTTGCTATTTATGACTTGTTTTCTTTAAGTTTGACCAATAGAAAGTCCTTAGGAATTAGGAGGTAGTCTAAATCTTACTTAACAACCACTTCTACTCTTTGTTGTCTTTAATCATATTTTTTTTATTTATTTATCCATTTCTTTTGATTACTATTTGTATGTAAATAGGATAATCTATTTATATTTATATAATCTAATTAAGTCTATCCATCTAATATATAATACACATACCTTAAAAAAAAAAAAAAAAAAAAAAAAAAGCTTTTACTAATACCTAATTAACATCACAATTGTGCAACAAGAGACATTTTAATTTGCAAACACAAAGTTCAAAAACATTGATTTAACTCTACATTTATCTACTAATAGATGAATGTAGAGTTTTTGTTTTTTTTGTTTTGTTTTGTTTGTTTGTTTTTTTTTTTTTCCTTCTTCATCATGTTATGTTATATGATAGTAAGTATGGGTAGGTCAATTTAGTAAATATGTGGATCTATTTAATATTCTCCTATATATTTATTATTATTATTATTATATATTTATATATTTTGAAACATGTGCATTTGTGCATTGAGTTGTAAGTACAAAATGGGATGTATACATTGATTTAACTCTACAAATACATACATATACATTGATTTAACTCTACATTTCCACCACTGGATCCGCACCATAACCATCATGATCGCTCCTTCACGTTAGGTCTCTTCAGTAGTCGCTCACATTCTAAATATCGTTGTTATTGTTACAGGCGTGCAATTGTGTTTGGTTTGTGTCAAAGAAAAATTGTAGGAAAATCTATGATATATGGAGCCGAAAAGCTTTACTTAGCATTTTTGTAGCCACTCGTGCAAAGGTGGTTACGGACTTCACTTCTTTAGCCTTTTTGCACTCTATGTGTTTCCACTCCAGGTGCACGGTGGATTGAGCGAGGAATTGTTAATCCTTGGCTACAGTGATGACTTGTTTTCTAATCTTTGAGCCGCTCATCATCCGGAAGAATGTGTTTAAAGCGTTGTCAGGCGGTGAGATTGAATAGTTTTGTTGTCTTTCATAGTTTTGCATAGCCCAAATACTACAAAGTATTTGGTTGTGTTGATTGAGTTTTTTGATCAAATCATGTCACATTTTGTCACTTTTCATCTACAGCAGCTTCAAAAAATGGATGCGTGTGGTCATTTCTACTTGCATCACGCGTCACAATTTTCTATGCGTATTCTTGATAATGTTTTAATTTATCTTGATGGTCTTTGCGATGATGCTAACGGAGAAGCTGGTGTCATGGTTCCTAGGTGGTCAAGCTCAGGTATTAGCAATTATGCGATCCAATTGGACCTATGTTGAGAAGAGAGTTGAGATCCCAAAGGATGTGCCCTTGATTTTAGAATGTTCAAGAACTTAAGAAATCTAAGAATGAAATGAAAGCAGAATAGGTCGAGTAGATCGATCAATACATGGTTGAACGGGTTGAGGCAACTATGCATTGTGAATCCAACTGTCAAACAGAGAAGGTGTTCAAGTTGATAGTTTGACACAACTCGCATGATACTCTTTGTCCTAGTTGTTTTTGTGGTGCTTAAGGACTAAGCTCTATACTATTAGGATTTGTGGTGCATTTCTGTACGTGGCTTTGAGTTTTTCTATTACCCTGACGTCTTTTCTTGATTAAGTAATAAAGGAAAAGGAGATGGACCACTGTAATGAGTAATTTTGCTGACATTGATGTGACATTTGCTGGAGACAAACAAGAAGAAGACTAATGTTATGTTAGAGGTGTTAATGCATGCCTAAGAAGTTTCCGAGTTGTATCCATTTTCAACAAACTCTCCCATTATTCAAGCAACTGGAGGTGAACTGTAACTTCTTTAAATGCAAATAATTTTAGAATAGACAGTTTCTTCTCTCCCTCCCTATACACTAGGCGCAATGTCATCGCCATAGCTTCGTTTGCGACTCAAGGGTTTCATGTTCTGGAGCAGAGCACTGCACCAGCCTCAGGAGCTTGTGTTTGAGCTCGATCCAAGAGGATGTTGCATTGAGAAAGAGGTTCTGAAGGAACCGATCGTCGTGGTGGGAAGTAGAATGGTTCGAATATGTGTTTTGCCGGAAATTTACGGAGAGTCTGTCTGTCTTAAGGGATTGAATTTGATCGGATCGGATCGGATTCGACGGTAGGGCGATACGGTGCTCGCAGAGCTGGGGGCCTCATCTCGCATGCCCTCCAACAGTTGAGTGATGCCACTTTTATTGATGAAAACGTTCTGACCGACTATTTGAATGAGATTTCGCGAGCGCTCATGTCGGGTGATGTACAATTCAAGATGATCAGTACAATGCAATCAAACATTAAGAAGGTTGTGAACTTTGATGAACTTTCTGCGGGCCACAACAAGCGAAAAATTATACAGCAGGTGTGCATATGTTCCAGAGGTGTTAGTTCCAGCTGTTTCGAAGTAGACCTTATCGATACATCTTTGGCCTTCAGAGCCTTTTTGTTGCATTCAGAGACTTTTAGTTTCATTCGAAATTGAAATCACGCTGATTACTGATGTCACATGACGTGGATATTATTAGTTTTTGCCTCGATGACAATTATGATTTGAGCTTGTCTCAGTTTCTGGCAAAAACAATGTCGTGCCGCAGGAGAGGATTTTAGTTGTGCGCAGAGTCATGGTTTTTTCGAACTTATATTTTGCTTGACAATCTGCAGGCTGTCTTCAACGAGCTCTGCAATATTCTTAACCCCGGGAAGCTAGCATTCGTTCCAAAGAAGGGAAAATCTAATGTTATCATGTTTTTCGGACTGCAAGGTGAGCTACGATTAGGACGCGTTGTGAATTTTCGCCTCATGCTGCCTTTTGCAGAGGAAGAAGTTGAAACAGAAGAGTTTCAATTCACGCCGTGCTTGACCCGACCAGTTTTTGACTCTGAAGTAGGGATTGATCCGCCCAGTCTTGACTTTCAGGCTCTGGGAAGACTACAACATGTACAAAATACGCATACCACTATCAAAAGAAGGGATGGAAGCCCGCCTTGGTATGCGCTGATACATTTTGAGTTGGTGCATTTGATCAGCTCAAGCAGAATGCAACCAAAGCCAAAATACCATTTTATGGCAGGTGATGTATATTCTTAGCCAGCCCTTTTTGCGTTCATGTTTTAAGGGGTTTGGGTATGACGAAGTTTGGACTCCTAGGGGGAGCTGAAGCTGCTGAGTGAACTGAACACGGGTGTATCTCGATCTGAAACCGGTGAGAACTGTGTTGTAGCCATTGTTCCACAAGTTTGTAAAAAATTCACACTTATGCTGCAGAAGGCATTAAGTGACATAAGACTCTTGCGTGATGTCAAAATTAGAGTGTTCTCAATGTGTCTGCAGCTGTACAGTCATGAAAGTTTAGAGTGAAAAGCTTCTAATGAAGTAGTTGTATATATTCTCTTCAGTTACACGGGGACAGATCCGGTTAAGACTGCTCAGGAGGGAGTTGAGAGATTTAAGGAGAACTGCGACCTAATAGTTGTCGATACAAGCGGACGGCACGAACAGGAAGCGTCTCTGTTTGAGGAGATGCGTCAGCTTGTTGAAGTGACGGTTAGTAGTTCTGGTACCTATTGTTGGACAGTGGAATTGGGCTTTGCAATATGAGTTTCTGAAATTATGAAACTTGTTCTGCATGGTGATGTGTGCGGAGTAGGAGTTTCCGTTTGATTCGTCGGTCCATGTTGATTAATGACTCTGTCGCTTGCATGCAGAATCTAGATCTTGTTGTTTATGTGATGGACAACAGTATAGGACAAGCGGCTTTTGATCAAGCCTAGGCGTTCAATCAAAATGTTGCTGTTGGAGCAGTTATTGTTACTAAAATGGATGGCCATGCCAAGGGAGGAGTGCTTTGGGCGCGTAAGTTCAACGATGGTTCAATTTTTTTATAATTATGAATAAAGAGCGCTCGTGAGAAACAAGGATAAGCATATTATCATGTATTCAGTTTATCCAACACTGATGATGTTGTTCGGTTGCAGAGTATCTGCAACAAAAAGTCCCATTATCTTATCAGTACAGGAGAGCACACAGATGAGTTTGAGGTCTTTGAAACGAAGCCCTTTGTAAGTAGACTTTTTGGTGAGAATTATCTTTTCAACATCACAGACTATCATTCTGTGTTGTGAGTTGAAGGTGTTTCTTAGATCAAGCTGTGCAATTGAAATAATGTCGGGGTTTTGTAAAACCTTATCGCTGGTTGTTGGTGTGCTTATATTATATCATATTATATTATATCGAGGCCAGGATCAGGTATGGGTGACTGGTCAGGTTTTATGGACAAAATCCACGAAGCTGTTCCGATGGATCAGCAACCTGAGCTACTTCAAAGACTATCTGAGGGCAATTTCACCTTACGCATTATGTATGAGCAATTTCAGAACATTTTGAATATGGGTCCTCTTGGTCAGGTAAATGTCTACTTCAGTCTCGTGATTGAGTTTGTCGTCCGTGCTAAATGTTTGTAAATGTCAAGTTAAGCAAGACATTGTTATATTTTCGCAGCATGTGCTCTGCAATGAACATGATGCTAGTTGTTCCTCTCATTTTGTTTTTGTACTTTTTGATGTGAAGGAATATGGCAGGTGATGTAAATGATACCAGGTTTTAGTCAAGAGTTAATGCCAAAAGGCCCAGAGAAGGAAAGTCAAGCTAAGTTCAAGAAATTCATGACTATGATGGATTCCATGACAAACGAAGGTGTTGCTACTGCTGAAGGGATTTCGTTTTGTTTTGTTTGTTTTATTTATTTTTTAAATATTTTTATGTTTTTTATAATCCAAGCATTAATCTTACGCTTTAGGTAACAAGAAGCATGCGGGCTAGTTTTTTTCAAGAAGAACGGTGTTCCTGATCCAACGCCATTTTTTATACAATTTCTTGTGCTGCAGAACTAGATAGCACGAATCCAAAGCTGATGACGGATTCACGTATATTCCGAATTGCAAGGGGTTCTGGTCGTTCCTTGCGCGAGGTACATGAAATGCTAGAGGAGTTCAAGCAGCTAGCTAAGATTTGGGGTAAGATGAAGGGACTTAAGATTCCAAAAAAAGGTGACATGAGTGCCATGTCTCGGTCCATGAATGCACAAATATGAGCGAAGTGCTTCCACCTCAGATAAAGCAAATCGGAGGCATTTGAGGCTTACAAACGCTCATGAAGCAGATGAATTCTTTATAGTTCTCTGGCATACTTGGAGGTCGTGATATGCCACATCTGAAATAACGCTTTTGAATCAAAGGTTTACATAACTTAAGGAGGTGAAGCTTGTTGAGAGATGTGTGAGTTAATTTTCCAGAGTGTAGGATTGTACACAGTGCCATATCAATCAAAACACATTGAGACAGTGGTCCTCCAGCGAAACAGCCAACATCCGTTTCTCGACGTAGCATATACTTAGAAGTGGAGAACTAAACATTCTTGAGACAATGTACGTTGTGGCAAGCTCTCATTAGAAGTGGGCAGAATTGCTAAAGCTGTGTCATATGCGGCAGGTTGCCGCCCCTGTTGTATTGTTTGCCATTCAGATCCTCAGATTAAAAAACCACTTACTATATATATATATATATATATATATATATAGTGAGAGCTGAAGCAATTAGTCTTCTGCCATGTGGTTTGTTTCGTCACCTTTAGTCATGCACCATTAAAACTTGTAGATTATTGCGTCAAGTATGTCACGTAGTGATGTTTTCAAATCATCCCCTGGGTTCCGAAACATGTTGGTATAATAGCTGCCCAAGCTGCATTTCGTACAGCAGGTTGTACATCGTGGAGGTACTGTGTAGGAAGCAATTGTGTGCTCCCCTAAGCCATGGGATTAAAATAGGGTTATTGTAACTGTTTTGGTGTTACACGTTATTGACGTCTGACCCACATTGCCAGTAGCCAAGATTCAACTCGCCCTTGCAGGAAATGATGGAACAACGGGCGAGCTTGACTCTTTCATATTCTTCGGCCCGGCCCTGTCCACTCAACGAGACCCATGTGGCTCACTGATTTGGCAAAAGGGTCGGAGGACTTCCGCCCTTCTTCCTTCCCGCACTTGCCTAAGTTATTACGGCATCCATCAATCATTCACCGAAATTGCTGCGAGAAAAAATTCATTCGCCACCCTCGGACCACACTCGACAATCGCCTGAATCGCAACACCTGTGCAGCCTACGTGCGTGTGCAAACTGTTTATCCTTTTTTGGCGGACAGTCGTGGTCAGGAAGAAAGCTTTTCGGCAAGTTTTTTAACAGTGTGTTGAATCCCACAAGAGAGATTTTCTTGCATTCGTGGATCTAGGTTGGATGTCGGGGTTGGGGTTTCGACGTTGCGGAGGATAATTCGAAGGAAATCATGGCGAAGGCGGCACGAGTTGGGGGAAATCGTCGTAGTGGTGTTGTTTGAGTTTGAGGAGAAATGGAGATTGTGGTGAGTGGGGAGAGGTTGTGGATTGAGGGAGGGAAACGGATCGCGACGATGTCGTGGAGGGAATAGGGGAATAAATGATTTGAGGCGGTGTGGAGAGTGCGGTTCGCAGGAGGACTGTGAAGCTATCGGAGCGAGTCAGATAGAAATTCTGAGGTTTGGGAGGTTTTAGTGAGTGTGTGCGGCATCACACTGCCATGGCTGGCGACGAGAGGACCGTGGAGCAACTTCCAGGGTCGTATCAGTTAGCTACCATGGCAGCCGCGGTCGATATTGAAGAAGATGACACACCTTGGAATGCTCAAAAGCAGAGGGCATCCGATTCTGGTCAGGAGAGGCTGCCGTCGCAGGACCGTGAGAATGGGGTGGAGCGGTGGGATGAGACGCTGTGGAGTGCAAAGGGAGAGGCTAATCAATTAGGGTGGTTCAAACTGGCGATGGTCTCCATGGTGGCAGCCGGTGTGCAATTTGGTTGGGCACTGCAGCTGTCTTTGCTCACGCCATACATTCAAATGCTTGGTATCGAGCATGCGTTCTCCTCGTTTATCTGGCTGTGCGGACCAATTACGGGGCTGGTCGTGCAGCCGTGCATTGGCATTTGGAGCGACCAATGTACATCCAAGTGGGGGAGGAGACGGCCTTTCATCGGTATAGGAGTCTTGCTGATCATGTTCTCGGTGCTGGTTATTGGCTTTGCTGCAGATTTAGGGTACCTTCTCGGGGACACCCACGAGGATTGCCAAGTTTATAAGGGCGTGCGTCCCAGAGCTGCATTTGTGTTTATAGTAGGGTTCTGGCTGCTGGATCTTGCAAACAACACGGTGCAAGGTCCTGCGCGTGCGCTGTTAGCAGACCTTGCAAGTTCCGATCAAAGAGATGCAGCGAATGCTATTTTTTGTTTGTGGATGGCTCTCGGTAACATTCTCGGGTTTTCAACTGGAGCGTACGGACATTGGCATGATGTCTTTCCCGCACTCACCAGTAAAGCGTGTTGCGCTCCCTGCGCGAACCTCAAGGCAGCGTTTCTTATGGCAATCGTGTTTCTAGCCATCTGCACCATTGTGACGATGGTTGCTGCCAAAGAGACTCCACTTGGTGTAGTAATTAGAGAACAGCAACTGGCAGAAAGGGGGACAGAAATTGTGGATCGTGAGGTCGAAAATAAGCTAGAACATGAAGATTCTGCACCTTTTTTATTGAGCAAGCATGACAATGGTTTGCATGACATGACATTGGTTTCGGTCGATTTGGATCGACCAGATGGTTATGCATCTGATGAGGGGGATGATCGCAACCTCCGTGTTGCGACTGATCAGGATCAGCGCTTTCCCAAGGAACGAGTTTCAAGTGAGGAAGGCATCGGCAAAGGATTAGGTTCTATAATGGTGAATCTTCTCCTAGGCGTCCGAAAGCTACCAGGATCCATGCGGTTTGTGCTTGTAGTGATGGCGCTGTGCTGGCTATCATGGTTCCCTTTCTTTCTATTTGACACAGATTGGATGGGACGTGAGGTATATGAAGGAGATCCTACCGGCACCGCGGATGAAGTAGCAGCTTATCAACGCGGTGTTCAGGAAGGAGCCTTTGGCCTACTCTTGAACTCAGTAGTGTTAGGAATCAGCTCCCTGTTCATCGACTTCTTATGCCAGCAAATAGGATCCAGAAACCTGTGGGCACTAGGCAACTTCACAGTTTTTGCTGCGATGGCATGCACGGGACTTATCACGACGAGTGTCTCAACTCCAGAAGGGCCCAAGCACCATCTATGGAACAGAATAGCAGCTGTAATTTTATTTACAGTGCTTGGATTTCCTCTGGCAGTAACATACAGCGTCCCATACTCTCTCACAGCTGAGCTCACGGCAGACTCAGGTGGAGGGCAGGGACTGGCTATGGGGATCCTCAACCTTGCTGTGGTGATTCCACAGACCATTGTAGCGTTAGGGGCCGGACCATGGGATGCGTTGTTTGGCGGTGGTAACGAGCCTGCGTTTGCGTTCGCTTCTCTGTCTGCATTGGGGGCAGGAGTTATAGCGGTGTGGAAGCTACCAAGATTATCGAGGCACGGGTATCACCGGGGAACCCTGATGCACGGTCCCCACTAATCTAGTTTTCGAGTTGTACCTTCCATTGAAATTTTTGCAGCATCATTGTACCATTTTTAGTTTAATAAATTATACCGCGCCCTCTAACGTGTCTCTTGAACAGAAGGACCAGGCTAAAGTCACTGAGCAGTTGCAGTTCGATTCTTTAATCCTCTTCATATGTGTGGTGCTTTCCTCCGTTGAACTGTTCCCTTGTAAGCTTATTATCTCCCTTGATTTCATGATGACATTGTCTGGATTGCGAATTAAGATTCGACCCGAAGCATCTTTGCTGTAAAATGTTTCGAGAAGAACGTTGGTAGTCTGTCGATTCATTCAGAATTTTTTAAGCTTTTATCGATGTGTTTTATTATTTCATTTGTGGTTATTTGATGTTTCATTATTTGAATGTGGAACTAGAGACCTAGTAATGGGACAATCAGTGTGGGACATGTTGCACACAGTATCAACCACTCAACCAATGAATTAATTAATGGCTGTAATCAACCATTGAGTCCGGCGATGCATCGAAATCGCATATCTACGGTCAATGTATCTTTAGTGATGGCTTTGCTCATGGTTGTGCTGTGTAGAGTTAGTTTTTCTGATTGTGTGCATGCACAGTTTACGGTAGTAACATCATTATATAAACTTTATTTCTCATCAAACACACGTCAGATGATTGCGTAATCAAGCCTGACCACTAAGACTTGACATGAAATGGCATCAGTACATGCAACAATAAAGGATCAGCATCTTTGAGGAAAGTGCCAACTGATTGTGAAAGCAACCATGATTTACCGACAGATAACTCAGCATGTCCTTCGATGTGTGATGGCTCTCAGGAATGTTCTTTGACAAATGCGGAGATATGTACCAGTTAAGCATGACTAGAAACAAGCACGTTGCTTTCATCTCGCTACAGAAAAAGAATTTGTAGGGCAAAGTAGAGGCTGACGATTCTACGGTGATCAATACGGTGTTGGAGTGGAGTGAAGTGAGGGTTCAGATGTGCATAGGTTCAACTTCAGATTGGGACATTCATTAATATATTCTCAGAAAATCTAAAACCACCACCAAATTATATTACTGAAAACGGAAAGAGCATCGAAATAATGTTTCACTCATCTTTAAAAAGACATTAGCTCAGCAACAACGAGAAACACACGACCGATTGATCATGGAAAACTATGGATCTTGCCCGATTCCATCTAAATTCCTTCCCGTTTCCTGATGGCAGCTTCTAGTGTGAAGGTGCCGGAATAATGGGGGTACCGTAAAAATGAATGACACTATGTTATGTAAGACGTACAAGTTAGATCCATAAAGAAATAATGGTTCCCTAGCATATCCAGTCCTGCTACGATTCTAAAGCTTCATGATCCACATTTTAGCGGCAGTAACTCGAATTTAAGTGGGCTCTGAAGAACAAGGGAAGGATTCGTAAATAAGTATTATTCATTTTATGAAGGTGGTGTCCCCTTCAAACCGCTTATAGGTAGCCACTTTAATTTCACGCCAGGTCGCAGGGATCTTAGGCAATGAAACTATGTGATGTAAATCATACAGAAAACTACTCATCAGATGCCACGGAAAACAAAGTTGAGCTCAAAAAATGAAGCTTATGATTAGCTATGACGGCCAGATTCTCTTCTCACTGATGACTGGACATAGAGCTAGGTCATTCTAGCCTGCCTGAGAGGCGGAACACCAAACTGCTCAATAAACTGTTGATCCGGCATCCGCACTTTGGCCCTAGCAAAGCGACGGTACTTATCAAAGATAGACGTCAACAACCAATATTGCACTTTGAGGAGGCAACCCACAAGACAACCTGTGGGATGCTTCAAAACATCCCATCTGTGCCCCCCTTGTCAATTACGGCACAATATTCAAAATCTCAAACTAAAATCACGTCATGTCATTTTCCCCTACTGAAGAAATCCTAACCTGTTTAAGAATTATAATACGTACCTTCCTATTGTTGCAGTGTAAAATAATGGAGTGATTCTCCATATCTGTCTCTAATATCTCAAAATAATACTTATTTGATGTATTTTATGAACCATTACGGATATCATCCCAGGAAAAACGGTCATCTTGCCAGGAATAGGGACGTCCCGAAATCAAAATGACCATGAAAATGTGTTGGCTTTACACATTCACAAGATAAATGATGATACCTGTTCTTAACACATCAGTGCAAATGACTAACTCTCGAGTAAACATCAGAGATGCTGTGATGAGCAATTGGTGGGTGCGCATACTAGACAAGAACTTCGTGCGTACTGGCTAGACTAACTCACGTAGAAACTGGCGATTACACCACCCAGAAAGAGAGACGAACTTTTCCACTGGAAAGACGTGAAGATATAGACAGTAATGGCTACAAACAACTGACATTTCCTACAACTGTGACTTTAGATTTTCTTCGTCATGGTTTGCATGAAGGTACTGGTAAAATTCGACCCTTGAGCCTATTCAGCGTAATATTACTGCAAAGCTTCTGAGCAGAACGAATGTGCCTAATACATCGCTTTCTTCGTGACTAGAAGATGGTCCTAGTGTCAAACCACAAAGACAATGGATTGTAACGGGGAAGGGAATGAACACAGCAGTTGCTTTAAAGTCCATATGGTTGACGTGAGCCTGACACGTAACAATAATCTTTAATGTGATTGCATATTGCTTGGACACCTTAAGAAGTTGATGGTTTTACATCCTGCAAGTGACATAAATAATATAGGAAACTTTGGCAGATGTATAAAACCCAAATAGGTTCTCAAAATTGTTTTGATCTGTGCTTCTTCTCTCGAATAACTCGGTTCTAGGAACAAGTTCTGTCTATTCCGCTTGACAAAAATCTGAATCATCGTTAACGGCCTGTGAACACAAGTGAAATTCAAATGAGACTGATGTGCTCACAGGTGTCTTCGCTAATCATAACACTCAATCACTTCATCTACCAAGAAAAATTGGAAAATAAAGTCAAATTCACAAACCAAGTGCAGCATATTTACCATGCCTTGATAATAGGTTCGCATTGCTACGCTGCCGCGTTGCTACTGCTTCAAGGGTACATACTTCGTTTAGCAAATCATGTCTCTTCCCCTGGTCGCTACCATACGATAATATGCAAAGATTGTGCGAGGCCTGTTATACGGTTGTTTGCTATACCCAAAGCATCTAACAAGCTTGCCTGTTGACCCCAGCAATTACTCGTGGTAGTAGTCGTACACCTTGAAATCATTATAAAGAAGACAGCCATCCTTATTGTAGTGCAGCAAATAATAGCATTGCTCACAAAAGAAAGTCGGGCAAGCAGGGGCCAGCTTGTCCTCGTATGTCACCTTTCGAGCCTGATAGATATTGCAAATGCTGCACTTGCGGTGCCGTACCCGAGCATGCCACTTTAGCACAGGATAAGCTGCCACGTCTTGCACATCCTTGGCATGAGCACGTCTTATGTCTCGAACGACAACTTTGTGCTTGCAATCTCCCTGGTGGCAGTAGAGGTATTGAGCTCCTACCCGCAAATGCAAGTCATAGAAACGAGTGTACTCCATGGAAGAGTCACGAAAATCAGGAAGTTGACCAGTTTCAGAATGAATTGCGGGAATAACTGCTCGTGGATTACTTCCAAGGTCTTTGTTCCACCGTTCTGTTGCCTCCCTAGATTCTGCCGCCCACTGCAGGATAGGCTGGCTGTAGTCTTTGGCATTTGGATCTCGCAAATCGTTGTAAAATACATCCTCGATCAAGAAGAAGCTGGACTTGGTGTCGAGATTGCTCTTGCGAGCTAATTCATCAGTGAGACAATAGAGCCGGTCCCGTAAAGCAGACAGAAACTGACTCCCAAGAACCAGAAATTCTTGCATCTTGTCATGTTTTCGTTGATTGTGATAAAACTCAACTACAAAAATAATTTCATCAAGTTTTAGAGATTCCATCTTATCTGGGTCTGGTGGAGCTTTTGTAGGAAAATGCAAAGCAGAAGTAAAGAACCTCCATCTTCGAAGTGGAGTCTTGTTATCTTCGTCTGCAGCTTCTCGCTCTTGCTTGAAACGCAAGGCATGTAGGTTTGCCTTGCTTCTTTCGACTTCCCTCCACTGCTTCATTCTTATAAGGGCTTCCTCTCGCCTCACAGCTGCATCGTCCACATTTGCAGCGCAGGCACCCCGACTTCGATCATATGGCCTTCCTTTCTTTCGTTTCGGAGCCTCTGAATTCTTTTTCCGCGACCGTGAATTTTTCTTCTCGGGTTCTTTTGCGGTGACGCAATTGCTACCCATCAACGCCAATAACATTTCAGCTGGCACCGTATCCTCGGGTTGCCCTTCCTGTGCACCACCTCTATTGACAATTGATGGGTTCAAAGCCAACTCCGTCGAGGCTTGTCGTAAATCGTTTTCCAAAAGCGTACAGGTATTACTCTGATCCAATGCCATATTACTACCTGTCTCAGCACGTGATCCATCGGCGAGCAACGTGGAGTTCGTATCATCAAGCACCTCTGCTAAAGCTTTCTCAACCAGCTGCGCGTCAGTGACAACCTTCAAATCCTCAACTGATACGTCAACGTCGTCATCGCCCGCTCCAATGACGCGAGAGTCCGATTCAAGTGCAGTAATAAGAGTATGCCAGGATCGATGAAGTTCTTGCACGCTGAGACAGCCTGACACAAAACCTGGCACAAACAAAGGTCCACCAGGCGCTCCCAGTGCTGCTACACCCGTCGTAGTCCCCATTACTTCTAGCCGAAGTAGTAATACAAATCTAGGCCGATGTTTTAAATTAGGCTAAATTAAATTGAACCTTCCAAAGGCCTCACCGAAAATCTCAGGGTTTCAAATCGCAAAACGATTTCCAATAGCTCTGTGCGCATCATCTAATGGATAAAACCCTAAACCGGCTTGTTAACCATTCAAGCTGAACTCAAACACATTCGAACTGTAAAAGCGGACATTAAGCGTGGGAATTAGTCGACGATTTAGGGCAGTTGCACTACTCTGAGAACAAGAGGGACGAAGTTACACAATTCTTCTCTACTGAACCCTCCAAAGCTCGCACTCCAATTCAATACGGCCTCGCTCAATTGTACTCATATCATGTACACTAGCAAATGCCTTCCCCGCTTCTAAAACCACTCTTTCGCGCTCTTAAACCCCACGTGCAAACTCTGCCCCGTAACTTGCGACGAACAGATAAAGAATATCAGAGTATTGCTCTCATGTGAGCAATCACAGAGCCTGTGTTCTGAAGCCAACTGCACCAGCATACTGAAGGAAAAATAAAATAAAATAAAATAAAAACTCGTGCAATGCAGCCGAGCAAGGGAGGCACCGCGATCGTGAAACCCCAGCCCCTCATGAAGAAGAGCTCGACATGGTCGGCAATGTTCCAATGGCCTGGAGCTCTGAGATGTTTTTGCACAGTGTGAACGAAGATTTTTTCCGGCCACTCTGAAACCCACGTAGAAATGTGTCGCAGAAACCTCTCAGTTCAATAGACTGGCTCCGCCATTGTGGGAATTGTGGGCCGTCGGATCAAAGAGATGTAATCTCAACCGCTGATCGGATTTCTGAGAACGGAGAAAGGGAACGTAGGGGAACCATAGGGCGGGCAGGCAGGTTGGTGGCCGGGCAGTTTGGAGGTTTGGAGATTGATCCACATTGACATGGTGTGCTGAATTTTGTTCAGTGGCTGCCTCTCAATCCCACTTTTCAACCATCACTCTTACTTCAAAGAATGCTTTTTTTTTGTTGTCATATACAGCAGCACTCGATGTACATAATATTTTTGTTTTCAGGAAGAATTCTTGCAACTCATAAAAGTTTTAGGTAGTATTAGATTTATTTATTAAATATATTATAAAACATATATTGCATGAAACTAAATTAAATTCTGTTTAAATTTTTTTTGAAATTTTTTCATTGCAATAATGTAAAATATAATGATAAAAAAAGGGAACAAAACTTAAGCATGATTATAAATATAATTTAAAAAACTATATAACATGTATTATTTCAATAAAAAAATAGTTTAAATTAATGGAATTTTAGTTTTATGACAAAAAATAATTCAAAATTAAAATATAAGTAATTATATTATTAAATAAATTTTATATAAGAGTATATAATAGAGGTACTTTAAAGCAAGATATACCTTATACATAGCAAACTTTTACTTCTAAGAATAAATAGAATTACATAAAATTAAGATGACATGTTAGATAATTAACCAACTTACTAACTATTTAATCTTTTAAATTTTTCTTTAATTGATCATGAATATTTTTGAATTTTTTTAGAAGTGCAAGCTCTAAATAAAATAGCATTACAAATAGTTGCAATAGAAGTATTGCTAAAAATATATAAGATCAAATTTATATTAACTTTAGTAATTGGAATAAGATCTAAATTACAAACTTGTTTTGTAGTATTATAAGACATTTGTATAACATTAAAGATAACAAATTTAAATTATTCAAATAACTTCAAAAGAAATAAACAAAATAATACAACTGAAGAAAAAAATAAGCTTTTATGTTTTCATATTCATATACTTCATAACTTCAATTATGTTATCTTTTCTAATACAATTAAATATATGTTGAAGAAATTGTATATGTTTTAATATATTTTATTATTCTAATTTATATATTTATATATATATTTATATATATTTATATATATATTTATATATATTTATATATATATTTATATATATTTATATATATATTTATATATATATTTATATATATTTATATATATATTTATATATATTTATATATATATTTATATATATATTTATATATATTTATATATATATTTATATATATTTATATATATATTTATATATATTTATATATATATTTATATATATTTATATATATATTTATATATATATATATATATATTTATATATATATATATATATATATTTATATATATATATATATATATTTATATATATATTTATATATATTTATATATATATATATATATATATATATATATATTTATATATATATATATATATATTTATATATATATATATATATATTTATATATATATATATATATATTTCATATATCGATATTTATATATATATTTATATATATTTATATATATATTTATATATATTTATATATATATTTATATATATTTATATATATATTTATATATATTTATATATATATATTTATATATATATATATATATTTTTATATATATATATATATTTTTATATATATATATATATTTATATATATATATATATATTTTTATATATATATATATATTTTTATATTTTTATATATATATTTATATATATATACATGTATATATAGAAAAATTAAGTTAAATATTTTTATTTATATAAATATTATATTTAAATTAAAATAATAAAATATATTAAAACATACGCAATTTCTTCTACATATATTTAATTGTATTAGAAAAGATAACATAATTGAAGTTATGAAGTATATTTAAGTTAATTTTTAATTATATTTTAATAAAAAATTATAATTTATAATTTATTATAAGTTTAAAATATAAAATATTATATTTATTAATATAGATATATATTTATATATTCACATTTAAATATAAGTGATGATAAAGGTCATCTAACACCATGCTTAGCTAAGCCACACAATGTAAAGGACATGAATCTCAAAAAATTAAAAGATCAATGTATTCTTATATTACTCAAAAAGATTAGGAAATTACTCAAAGGTGATATAATATTAAACTAGAATGGCTATTGCTAAAGATAAGAAGACTAGAAAGTCTTGAAATAAGACTAAAGATATAAAAAAGATGTTGGCAAGAGCAAAAAAGGCTTCACTCTTGCTTCTATATATATACTATTTGACTATGAGCTACATGGTGATGTTCTATATGACCTCTGACATGTTGCTGTATTATGTATATTCTTGCTTGAGAATGCACTAGGCACTTAGTTGTGGAAGGTAAGTAATAATATAACAACAATTCTATCAAGTTTAATAGAGCCTTAAATAAACTTCAAGTAATTCTTAAAAATCCAATCAAACTTTAATTTATTAAAATAAAATTTAAATAATCACAAAAAAATAAAAAAAATATATCTTTTAAAAATACTAAAAATAAAAATTCTAATATAATCTTAATTAAAACCCTAATTGAATCTTAGCCAAATCCTATGTCAAATTCTAGGTCAAACTCTAAATGAAATACTCATTGAACCTTAATCAAATCCTAGGTCAAATCCTACATCAAATCCCAATGAAATCCTAATGAATTCCTAAATACTAGGTCAAATCCTACGTCAAATCCCAATGAAATCCTAATGAATTCCTAAATACCAGACAAATCCTAAATAAGTTTTAAATCAAATCCTAACCAAATTCTAATCCTAACCAAACCTTGGACTAAATCCTAAATCAAATCCTAATGAAATCCTAAATCTTAAATAAATTCTTAACAAATCCTATAGTAAAATAGAACTTCAATAATTAATGATTGAACCATTGATATCAACTCAAAATTTGTATATTACTTAATAACTTAATAAGGAACAAGCACAAGAAAGATAAAATCAATCGTACTTATCAAATGAAAGAAATGTAAGATAATCCAATTGGGTATTAAACGACCTCCTACTCCAATTTGAATGTTGAACTTCTAGCACCAATATCTCCATTTTGAATTTTTAAATTACTCTTCAATTTCATCTAAAATATTGAAAATCAAGTCTAGTATTCATAAAAAAAAAATCACTTCAATCCAATTCATAGATTATTGGACATCTTAGAAATATTCATTGATCCTTAAACTCCAATTTCTGAGACCTCAACCTACAAAAACCTTCACACACTTCAAACTAATTATTTAATTAACTTCAAAATTGCACACACATCAAAGAACTTAAGAAATCCTCAAATTTATGAACATATATTTATTTCTCAAAATCTAAACCAACTAAGAACATTATTTTCTTTGAAAATCTCTCAAAAATTCAATATTGATTCAATTGATATAAAACCAATGTCCAAAAAAAACTCTTCAAATTTTTTCTTATATCCTACTCTCTAATCTATCAAAGATCCTTGCAGTCACTATAGGTGCATGGTTTTGTGCCTCAGGATCTAATTTTGATCCAAGTTGGTAATTGATCCTCTTTGAGTAATAATCTTTAGATTTTTTAAAATAAATTTTATTAAAATCTAATCTTTATTTCTTCTTATATATGCCTATATTATTTAATTTTCTAATCTGCTTGGTTTTGTCATATTTATGGTCCTACAAAGTAAGTAGAAGCTTATTTTTTAAAAAATGAGCATTAATATCTTTTAGTTTTACTATTTTTTTGATTATTTTTTATATTTCTAAGATAATTTTTTATAATATTTTCTTCTTTCTTTCATTCATTAGCCATGTTATATCACGACAACATATCCAACTTGCAAGATACATGTCTAACTTACAAGATAAGTTTCTTATATGTGCGCCATATTTTTAGCTTATTTTACAAGCTATTAATATGTGAAATACATGGCTAATTTTTTGGCAAATTTTTTAACCTACTAATCAACTATAAACATGTCTAAAGTCAAATACGCATCTATGAAGCTTCTAAGAAGCTATGCTAGAAGATAATATCGAATCTACCTATATTCATTTTTTGCTTAACACTTTTTATTTAGGTAAATATATATATCTGTGACATTATCTCTCCTTTTAGAGAGGAGTTCCATGAGGAGTGACAATCATATGTTAAGAAAATCTAAGATATAACAAATTGTACTTATCACATACTTTAATCTTTGTTCTTTTTGAAGATGATTGATATGTCTTCTTAGCAAACAATAATGTCCTATATCAAGGCAAAATAACCACCTTATTATTTAATCATTCTTAAAACCTTTGTAATTCTATTCAAATAAAACATTTGAAAAACCTTTAGAGATGGTTCTTACTTCCAATAATATTACTAAGCATTGAAAGTTTCTTCTAAGGTCTTGATACCAAACATGTTGTATTTCACTATTTATTCAAGAGAGAACATGTTGTTCTTTAGGGTCTTCATCTCTATAGCATCGACTTGAGGGTTATGACAATTGTAATGTCTTGTCTAGTGCCTCAACAAAAAATAGCTTTTAAATTGAATTTGTTGGTTGTTGGTTCTCTATCTCTTTAGCACCACAAATACACAAATACACAAAAACTACAAATAAGGATAGAAGATAAAATACAATCATTTCTTAATCATGTTTTATTTATAGCAAAGATTGACTATACTTCATCTTAATTTGGATGGATATTGTCAATAAAAAGAATCCATCTTCTATGCTACAATTGTAAGATTTTTGACTAGCTTCTATGTGTATTTACTAATATCATATCTATACCAATGAATAAGATATTTTAACCTATTTTAATACTATCTTAAGTCTAAGACTTCTTTGACCTCATACTCTTGATTATTATCTATTTTTATAGGAGGAGGTAGCATTTGTCATCTTCATAATATATTTATTGGCTTATATGTTTTAAAGAAAGACACATGAAATATGAGATGAATTTTCATAGAATCTAGTAGGTGCAATTGGTAAGCAAGTAGGTTAATCTATTTACATAAAAGAAATGGTCCAAGTTTACAATAATCCAACTCATTAGAAAAATAAATAGTCTTGATATTACAATGAAGCAACCATACTTTATTATTAACATAGAATTATGGTTGTTCCTTGCAATAAGCATCTACATTGATTATTTGTTGTTTTTTAGCTTTTTTTAGATATACCTTTATTGTTGTATGTAGCTCTAATAAATGATTCACTAAACTTTTTATTACAAGATTATCAATTTTTGAAAAGTCAAAAGTATCAATTTTTTATCAAAGATAAGAACTTGATGAAAAGAAATAAATAAGTCGGATTTTTTCAAAGAAGTATGAAAAAATAAAAGTAAAGTAGTATATATATTAAAAAAAAACTAAAGTAGCTATTATCAAAAGACAATAACAATATAAACTCTTTAAATTAGACTATAAGCAAGAAAAGAATTAACAAGAATGAAGAAGGCTTCATTCTTGCATCTATATATACTATCTATCTAGGAGATACATGGTGACATTTTATAGGACCTCAAAAATGTATTGAATTTACATGACACATATCTTAACTTGCAACACAAGTTTTTTATATGGATGCCACATAGTTAATTTGTTCTACAAGTTATTAACATGAATGGCACTTGGTTAACTTATTGACCAAGTTTCTAACCTATCAATCAACTACAAATATATGTAAAGTCAAAGCAATGTCTATAAAGCTTCTACAAAGCTTCTTTGGAAGATATTATGAAATTAATCTACTTCTACCTATTCATATTATCTAGATAAAAATTATAAAAAATATATGTAAGTGACATTACTTCTTCTTTTAGAGACAAATTCTAAGATGAGCAATGATAACATGTTAAAGAAGTATAAGATATAGCAAATTATATTTGTCACATACTCTAATCTTTGTTTCCTTTAAAGGTAGTTGATAGGTCCTCTAAGCCATTGGTAATGTCCCATTCTAGGATAAAAGACCACGTTATTATTTTATCATTGTTAAGTCCTTCACAACTTCCTTCAAAAAAAAATATTTGTAATACCATCAAAAATCATTCCTACATCCAATAAAATCACCAAACATGAAGTATTTTTTTCCAAGTTGTAATATCAAATGCATTGTATGTTGTCATCTACTCAAAATAGAACATGTTGTTTTTGAAGGTCTTCATCCCTATTATGTCAACTTGAAAGCTATAATAATCACAATATCTTGTCGAATAAGTCAGCAAATCATGACTCTTGAGTTGAATCTATTGATTGTTGATTTTCCATCTCTTTAATACCACAATTATACAAAAATTACAAACATAGATAGAAGGTAGAATGTAATTTTTTTTAAATTGTGTTTCTTTTATAATAAAGATTTTTTATCTTTTATCTTAGTTTTAATGGATGTTGTTGATGAAAAGCTTTGACCTTCTCTACTATATTTGTAAGATTTTTTCCTAGCTTCCATGTACGTTTGCTAATATCATATTTGCAATAATGAATAAGGTATTTCAGCTTAAGTCAACGCTACCTTGAGTTTAAGACTTCTTTTACTTCAAATTTTTGATTATGATCCACTTCTATAAAAGGCATTGAAATTTGCTTTCTTTTTAAGATATTCATTGTCTTATATGACTCTAATAAAATATGTAAAATATAAGATGGATTTTCATAGACTCCAATAGATATAATTAATAAGAAACTAGATTGACGTATTCACAAATAGAAAATGGTCTAAGTCTATGATAATTCAACTTATCACAAGAGTGAAAAGTTTTAATATTATGAAAAAATAATCATACCTTATCGCCAATGTAGAAATAATGTTGTTCCTTGTAATAGGCATCTGCATTACTCTTTTGTTATTTTTGAGCCTCTTTTAGTCACGCCTTCATTGTTGTATGTAGCTCAGATAAATGATTTTCCAAATCTATTGCCATAAGATTATCAACTTTTGAAAAGTGAATAGCATCAAGTTATGGATAATAACCATAATTATAAAAAATAAAAATAAAAAATAAAAAAATAAAAAAAATAAAAAAAATGCATAGAAGAATGTACTATGTTATTATAAGCAAACTCTACCAATGATATTAAAAAAAAAAAAAAAAAAAAAAAAAAAAATGTCCAATCATCTTATTAATAATTGATGGTACACCTTAAATACTACTCTAAAACTTCTTGGCATAGATTTGGGACTTCATTGTTGACTTCCATAGGTATAGGAATACTACCTCCTTAATTGTCAATAAAAATCTAAAATAGTTAACAATGACAAATCTTCCATAGGCTTATGAATACTAATTCTATAAGTGATATTAGAGATATGTGAGATTTCTACCCTAAGAATGTTGACGAGCTCATAAAGATTTGAAATAATTACAAATCTATTTTAAATTTTTATTAAAAATAGTATCTATAGTTTTTTCTTTTATAAATGAGTCAAATAAATATATAATTCAAATTAGAAGAAGATATTCTATAATATTTAATATTAAATAAAAAATTTCATGAAAAAAATAATCTATTTTTTTAAGAAAAAAATAAATATTATAAAACTAAATGTTAATTCAAAAGTAGATAGTCTATAATTTTTAAAATACAATAATAGAAGTGGAATAATCCACTTACTTCTAAAAAAAAATAAGATCAATGAATTAGCACTCTTGCCAAACTATCAAAGATATAAATCTTAAAGAATTAAAAGATCAATACATTCTTTTGTTACTTGAAAAGACTAAAAAATCACTCAAAGGTGGTATAATATTAAATTAGAATGGCTATTGCTAAAGACAAGAAGATTAAAAAGTCTTAAAATAAGAATAAAGACTAGAAAGGCATTGCCAAGAATGAAAAAGGCTTCATTCTTCTATATATACTATCTAACTAGGAGCTATATAACAATATTTTATATGACCATGTATATATATCCAATTTACAAGACATACGTCTAATTTAGAAGATAAGTTTTTCAAATATATACCATATAGATAGCTTGTTCCACAAGCTATTAACATGTATAATACATTACTAACTTGTTGGCCAAGTTTTTAACCTATCAATCAACTATAAACATGTCTAATGTCAAATACGAGTCTTTGAAGCTTTGCCATAAGATAATATTAAATCTACTTACATTTTCTTTCTATCTAATACTTCTTATATAAATAACTATGTATATATGTGATACGTAAAAATAAAAAGAAAGAGTCATCGAGGTAAGTAGTAAAGACATCAACATCACCTTCTTTCTTAGGGCTATATTATAAATAAATATTTTTAAAATTATTCTTTAAAGGAAGAGTGATGGTTGAAAAGTGGCATTTAAAAGCAACACCTAAACAAAATTTAGCACACCATGTCAATATGGATGAATCTCCAAACTTCCAAACTGACCAATCTCTAATCTACCTATCCGCTCCTTGGTTCCCTTACATTCTCTCTCTTTGTTCCCAAAAATTTGATCAATAGATAAAATTACATCTTAATAGCATCTGCAATCCAACAATCCATAATGGTGGAGCTAATTGATTGAATAGAGAGGTTTTTGTGACACTTGGTAACAAGGCTTTGAAACCTCTTAATAGGTGCGCTAATTACAAATATTGGCCTACATCCAATTATCAATAGACATTGACAAAATGAGTATAATTCAATTTAATCTTTATGTGTAAAATATAAAAATTGTATAGTATGTTTTCTACTCTCAAAAGTTAAAATTTATTTTTGAGTTCTTAATATCACTTTAAAAAAATTATTTAAAAACTTTAGGAATTAATATTAAAATATATGTATATATATATATATATATATATATAATAGTCACATATAAAAAAATTATTGATTATTAAAATAGTAATTTATTTTTTAATTATTTAAGTAAAAATATTATTATTATTATCTTTGATACTCTTTAAACTTGTGGTCATCTACAAAATACCTCTACAAAATACCTCTACAAAATATAGAATATGTTGCTGATTCAACTAGTATCTTTTGCAATTAAATTACTCGCTCATCTCAACATTTTTAATGTTAGAAGGTGTGAAAAGTGAAACTTTTGATGGAAAGCTAATTATTGACAAACCCATGGGAAGAAAATGAAATCTCCTCATAACTAATGTCTCCATTTAGTAACCTTTGAAAATTGTGTATTAAGAATTAAATCCATCCTCTCACTCTCTTTGGATTTTGTAAGTGAATACCAAATGGACCATCCATTGGTGACAAGTATAGAACACATGTGACGTTGCTGAGACATTCCATGACAAATTCTGTGATAACTTATTATTCTTTTTCCTTTTTTCTTATTCTACTTCTTCTGAAAAATCAAAAAGCAATCTCGAAATAGCCTTGCCACAACTTTGTACTTCAGAGTCACAGTATACACTAGATGCAAGTATGTACTACTATTTTGGTTCTTCATGGCAGTGTTTAAAAAGTGAACAGGGATACTCTGGCAGTAAGGAGAAAAATTAGTTCACACAATGCCCTTGAGGAGTATCACGAGGAGATATTATCTTTTCCACTGACTGGATTACTGAAAGACTTTTCAAGTAATTTGTTACTTCAAAATGTTTTCTTGCGAGGAGAATTTCTCAGAAGGAGAATCTATGTAAAATAAAGATTTAAAACTATCAACAAATTTACCATGAAACGCAGAAGCTACACCACATGTGCTTATACTTTGTCATCAATGAATTGTCCAATTGGTTTTCAATTGTAGAATCCTTGCCATATTAATATCCATAGAGAGCAAGGGGAGGAACTTGATTTTTCAAATACAATTTTCAAAGGTCACACAATGAAGAAAAAAGTCAAATCGGTTACAAGTATTCAATGATTCCTGGACATTTTCTGGAGAAAAATTACAGTAGGCCAAGAGTTTGAGGACGGAGAGTTTTCGATGAGCAGAATGAACAGATATCTCAGGTTGCTGTGTCGAGAGTTTCTAACTTTTATCTTCTAATTTACGCTTAGACGTCCTAAATTTTAAAATTCCAACAGTGAGAGTCCCGACAACAATAACCATTTTGAGCCCGACGGTCAAAATCTTCTCTCTCTTACCTATGTGAGAAGTGGCTGCAGTATCTTCGTAAGCTTTCTCAAATGTATCAGAAGCTGGATCAGCATAATTTTTCTCTAAGGAATGTCTGTCTCCTTGCAAATTAACAGCATCTTGAACAAGTAAGGTCTGATGTCGAGATTCATGTTCCTTCAAGTCTGTTGAACTAGCTGCTACTCCAGCTAATGCCTGTGCTTGAATAAGGACGCATGTATCTTCGTGTCCTTCGCAAGCACTGCGCACCCCAAGTCTCTCTTCCCCTTCTTCAGAAATCTGAAGGTTGAAAGCTGCTGCTTTGTTTTCATCGCTGAGACCGTCCAAGATCTCTTGAGTGCAGTTGAAAGACCTACTTCTTTCTCTTTCTGCAGGAGCAGGAGACGTAGACTCTGTAACTTCACATGCACCCCTTAGAAATGATTCAGTACAATTGGCTGGTATTCCCTCTTCGTTGTATACACTTCGTTCAATGGTGTCTTGTGAGACGTTGACCACGACGCCTGATTCAAGGGATTCATCTGAGAACCTGGGTGAGTCAAGATGGAAGGGAATTGAAAAGTGAGATCCAGCAGCTCCGTGTTCATTTTCAGCGTTTGTTGCTTCTATGTCCGATGCGACCATTTCAGGAGGTGTTGCTTTGAACTGCGTCTGAGGCAGCCAATTCATTCGATCGATATTCTGCCTCAAACTGTGACCAATTTCACTACCTTCAGCGAGCTTGAGTTCAGGGAGACTACAGATATCATTAACTTCTTTAATACTTGCATCCTCGGAGATATCATTTAAAGCAGAAACACAGCCCCACTTCGTAACATTCTTCTTGGAGTCGAGTTCTGAAGGGAACGGTTTAGAATCTTGGATACCGTTTAGGATTGAGTCAGATGGATAACGAATAATCTTTCCATCCTTGATATCTCCATGTTTTGTGTTGTCAGCGTCTTCATTTGCAGTGGATAATGTCACTCTCCAGTTCTCGTGATTGCCAAAGTCGTCGTAATCATTAGGACCGTCTAAAAGTAGAATATCAGGAGCAACCTGATTGAGTTGAGTTGTGTCTGTTGAAGTCATGAGCGTTTCCCTAACGCCGTCATTAGTCTTTAATATGTCTAAATCTTCTTCAAAGACCCTATTGATGCGACAAAATTTCAAGCCCCGCCTCATTGTGACTAACTTTTCAACACTCGCTAAATCTGGGACTTCAGAGACGACGGTCGACTTACTTCGTACTAAAGGAAATTGGCAACCGCTTACACATGATTGTTCGTTGCATGGCATATTAATTCGGTCCTCAAAACCAGCAATTCCTGGGAAATGATCTAAACCTGAATTGGTGGAGGCATCTCCAACATGCTCCGCTTCGCTACCCTGCAATCTGGATATTTCGTGGTTTGATGCATGATCTGGGCTCTGAGAATAAGCAGAGATAAAGCCATCGCCAGCTTCTGCAACGGTAAGCTGTCTCCCAATATTGGGATTACCAATACTAGTGCTGAATATGTTAAAACTCTCTAATAATTTTATCCGTAATAGAGCGTCAGAAATATGGGCAACCGATAGCTTTTCAGAAACTGGCCGTCGGGTCTCCTGATCCACCAACAAACTATCCCCCGAATTGGATTCAAGGTTGCCTGTAACAAGTTCAGCTCCGTCGCTGTCAGTTGTGTCAATAGATGCCTGCATCAGGCTCTCATTAACCATCTCACACGAGACGCTACGATTGTCATTGAGGTCAGACTCCTCTGACAACACATGATGTCTAGCATCAGTGGCAATTTCCGTAACACTGCAGGAACAATATGAGTCTAAATCAATTGAACCTGCAGCAGTGACACTTGCGCCATTTTCAGTAGCTCGAGCGGTTGTTGCTGCTTCAGGGTGGACATCTGCGGATTTCAGGACTTCTGGAATTTCATTCAACTTCACGCGTAGATAACCATCAGGGTGCTTGACTCTGGTCGAAGTTTTTTTGACATTTCCTTCTCGAGCACCAACATTACCACGACTCTTAGCAGGAGATCCATCACATTTCTGGGGCAGTAAGTCTTGAGGAAGTTTATAGAGCGGAGATAAACCATCATCCACCTTCTTGTGCAAAAGATCTGACCGACGTGCTCGTGACAAATTTGACTTTGTCAAGATCGTTTTTCGGGACAGTGTTGGACTTGAAGAAATATGCTTCTCACTCCATTTGGGTTTGTCATCCGTCAAAGGACCATCCTGAATCCGAGAACAACAAATTGTAGCACAAAATATCCTTCGAAAACTATAGATGGCACAGCAAACTTGATTTACGAAATACGATGTTGGATTACCAATTGGAAGATGCCATCTTTTGTGGTTCCTGGTTTTCTGTATCACTTGGATTATCTCTTAATCAGATCTGTTACGATTATAGCTGCAATCTTGTTTACCAAATTCATCATTTTGTGGATTAGAAAAAAATCTACTCCCATTCTCATGTTTTACAAAATAGGAGAGGACTGAAGCAAAGTGGCGATTAAGAAAGAAGCAACACGCCATACCACAAATACAAGAGAACTTAGGCTCTGCCTTTGAAAGGTGGATTTAGTCGAGGCCTTCTCTGCAGATTCACCTCTGACATTGGTTGATATCTGCGGATCTTCACTCGTATGACAGCTTGACGTCGTTAACCTGTTTCGCAATCAAATTATTTTAAAGACCGTAACAATCAGATTACGGGCATATAATAAGGAAGAGGTTCGCTGGAACAGCATGGACGATTTTAAAACCCGTAAGTTTCAATCGTTTGGAGGTGGGCAGACCAAATTTCCTCGATACATAGGCTACATAAACTAAGGTCCACCAGTGGATGTGGGCCTCAAAATGATTGCAAGAAAATGACTTATCAAAGGTACCTGAACGGATGGGATGCTGCATGGTGCAGTTTAGTGCACAGCAATCGGACAAGAACTTCACGCTACAAAGTGAACAAGAACAAAGTGATATCAGCACAATATTTTACAGATTGTCTTAAAAAAAATTCAGCTCGATTACACTCGAAGCGATCACTCTTAGAGACGCTCTTTTCCAAGAATCGTAATATCTGAACCCAGGGAGGTGCTGAACAATGGCAGTCAAATGTAATCCTCAACCTGGCACCCTCAAGGATCACAGCGATTTGCTATCTTCTTGCGGTCCACAACGTCACAATCACAAAGTTTTTCAAGACGTACGAACTGCGCCGCAGCTCCGAAACTTTCTCTTGAAGTCTAAATTATCTCTTGCAGCATCAATTTTTGTGCAAGAAAGTGCCATTAACACCTCGTCAATACCATTTCATATTCAAACAAGGCAAGCGAACAAAGCGACGACGGTTCCAAGTGATTGATCAACAAATCCGAAGAATCCAAGAAGACAGACTGAGGAACGTCACAATAAAAATTAAAAAAACAAGCGAGGATCACAACAATCACAATGCCTCTCGTAAGACTAACACCGAAATCAAGAACTCTACCTTTACACCGGCTGTGCGAATGCCATGCTCGATGCATAGCTGCTTGAGCTGCTTCGGAGGCAAATCATTTAAATTAATATCCTTCATCTCTGTAAATCCAGATTCAGTTATTTACAGAATTTACTAATTCCTCCGTGAGCCTCCTCTCTCTTTCTTCAAGCATCAGGAGCTGAATCTTGTCTCGGGGCCCTCTCCGCTCTTCCACCAGAGCTCACTCCGAGGTTTCGCCTAGCTGCACCTTACCACCTCTGAGGCGCCTCGCTTCACTCACGTCAAATTTTCGAGTACCAGAGAATGCATGAGAGCGTTACTAGAACGTAAGGGTGAGAGCAGCAACAGCAAATCACGCGACAGGCTTCGCTCAGTGCGCAGCCTCAATGCCCTTCCCCAATCTGACCTTCAGAACTCCAATTGTCGACCGAAAGGAAAGCATTCTTTGGCAATGAAAGAAACCTGAGTAAGGCTTTCTTCCTACCACTGAATCAAAGGCTCCGACTCGTTCAAGCGCAATGGCGCCCGGGACCTATTCTGAGCAACAACGTTGCTGAGCTCGGAGCACCATCAGCCAGCCTGCGACACCGAGAGTCTTTTCTGGTTATGAACACACAACTTCTGCGTCGGAACGGGAGATATTTTCTATCCCTCTACTCACAGTGCGAACAACGCCTTGGTAGAAGGCAAGTTAAGAAGCCATGTAGCATTTCTATGGTTAGAAATTATAAACAATAAGTTAAGCTTTGCTAAGCATGCCTTTACCCTCATGAAAAAAATGTTATTTGATTACACCTTGAAAATCTTGCTAGTTCAGAAATGTGTTGCAAAGAATGCACTCTAATACTCTTGTAGATAAATATCCTGTAAATTAAAATTAGAATAGGACAGCAAAATATTGATAATCTGAGGTGTGTGGATGTCTGGTAATGGTCAATGTCTTGCATTCATGAGGAAACGGCTCATTTGGAAGTATTGCATCGACTTCCTCTGTGCACTTACCCTAATACGATCCACTCTCTGTAATGATACTGTGGAAACTATGTTGGCCACACAAGGTGTGATCATGTTGTGTCATTGTATTACTAATGAATACTTGGATCATGGCTTGGTGGAGGGCAATTTCTTTTATGATTGGAATTGTCTCCATTTTTTTAATATTCTTTTGTTTTTACAGTAAGTTTTCGGCTGTGATTTAGGGTTTAATCTGCAGAGTCTGCCTTGTGACTAGTTTTCAGACTTCAGGAAATGCAGACTCGCCTTTTGTTTGTTAAAGTTGTTTGTGAATACTCTTCGCTGACCCACTTCCATTCAAGTTGATGAACTCTACATTGCCTTCCTCTGTTCGTGGTCAGAGGAATTATCGTTGGATTTCAAGGTGCACTTCCACTGGGTTCTTTGTGAACGCGCCCATACTCATTCGCAAACCAACTTAGTGGTTGATGTCTGGTTTCTCAGCATGTCTGCACTCTTTCTCAGGTAGCGGTGCTTCAGAACTGATTCGCACAATAGATTATGCTCATATTCTTGTCAAGAACGCAATGTCTCACAACACTGATGATGCTTATATTTCTTTCAGTACATGCATTTCATATACTTCAATATGTACTGCGATAAAAACCCAATCGCTAAAAACTACTGACTTAGATCATTTCAAAACCCTTCGGGATAATTAGAAACGTATAGAGATAAAGAAGAAAAAAAAAAAAAAAAAAAAAAAAAAAAAATTGTTATGACCGAATACCAGAGATTGCAGGAAGGTGATTGTGACTGTGTTTTTAATTCCATCCAAAGTGCGTCACTGAATAAGTTGATGATGGATAATGTGTCATCAAAGCACCGGTCCATAAGTTCCTGAACCTAAGAGATTGAGTGTGTTAGGCCTGAATGATTGGTACAAAATTCCCTGTACCTGAAATATGAGAGTTCTCCGCACCTGTTTCTGAATAGATGATTAACTCCATCATTAAAACTCCTCATTTGGGATGTAGGAACACTACACAGAAGAAAAAAAGGAGCAGTTGGTTTTAAATTTGGAAGACCTATGTTCTAAAACCTTGTACCACTTGATACATGGCCTCATCACACTACACACTTGCTGGCTGTGCCTTTCTTGCTCTGCTGGGTAATGCTAGGCAGCAAGCTTCCTGCACGGTGTGGCCCATATTTTAGAGGATGTGTGTACAATAGCCTGGGAAGTCATCTGGTGAAATACAGCATTATCATTATCATTATCTGTTTCCTGTGTGCAGTGTACGTCTTAGCAGCTGCAGAGAACAAAGTAGCAGACATTTAATTGACACCTGTAAAGATAACATATGGCTGGAAGAGACACAGGGATCAGGTTGAGTAGCTTGGATTGTTTGTACTTTCCTCAGGCTTTGGAGTCTGCATACTACGACCACAACCATCCTCATCTGGGCAAAGAGTGGCAACTGACACACCTCTGCCAGGGTTCTCCACTTTTAATGCACTTGTCTGTAAGTACTCAGCCACAGTTGCCCAGTAATGGACATAGCAAAATCACACCACTACAGTCAGTACCTAGATTTCGATTCTGCATTTTAGGCTCATTTTCTTAAAGCTTAATGGATTGTAAAACTTGAATCTTTGAAACAAACGTGGATGTTTCTAGGTTTGAAATTGTGGGTCGTGATCAGATTGTGAAAGCTTAGGTTTAGAATTGTGTCAGTCATCACCCAGTCTTGTAAAATAGCTGTGCTCGTAGTGTAGTTGTTTGTTGCTGTTAATGTATAGAGTTGGGTCCCACGATAGTGTGACTGGTAGTAATGGAAGGTACCTTAATTTACTACCTGTCAGTATTAGTATATTGTCCAGAATCCATAGCAGGAGCACATTAACACCAACAGAAACACCTCAGGGAATAAACTGGCCGAATTGTAGTTGGTTCGGGTTTATGACTCAGGCCTGTAGGTTTACAGATAGATAGGACTGATTTCTGCATTAGTACACTTTACTATATTTTCTTGCAGTGATTAGAACTAGCAATAACCATTTTCAATAACCAGTCAACTGTGATCTTGTTCCTTCTTTCTAATTAAAACAAACCAGTCGGAAAGAGGAAAAGAAGAACCAAACTTTTCAAACCAGAACAGCTATTTTTATCAATGTCTTTAGTATTTTGTACCTGTATGTAAGTATATATTTCAAAACTGGAATTAAGAAATGAATTATCAATTCAATAAGCGTTCAAAATATTGAATTGTGATAAAAGGCAATCATTTCAACTTTAATGTTCTTCACGATGACATTACTTGCACAATTTGTTATAAAGAAATTAACATCATTTTTTATTTTTTACTAAATTAGTTTTTTAATATATAATATTTCTTTGTAAATCTACAATATAAACATCCATTAGTTTTTACATTAATTTTTGAGCTTATTGTTGTATAATAAAGTAAATTTATTTTTTAAATCTTAATAAACTTAATCTAGAAATTAAAATGTAAATCATATGTGACTATTATAAAAATAAAAATAAAAATAAAAAATCCATCTTTTGATATTATTTCTTTTTTCTTTATTATATACATACTAGTATGGCTTGTATACCCCTAATACATCCAAATGGTGTAAGTAATTAAAGTTTTATTTTACTTTTTTAGGGTCTAGTATGTCCCTCCGGGTCATCCTCAGGAGCATTTCACACATTCCACATAATTCTATCCTTATTTAGTCTTGTCCATGATGACCTACTAATTAGGATCATTCTATGTTATGTTATATTATATTACATATTATCATTCTTTATTACAATATATGTTACATGTTCATACCATCAATAATATGTTTAGTTGGATGTACTAATGTGATGAAGTTATGTAGGAGGACACTATGTACACTTAGCTAGGTTATAATTGTAACATATTACATTACATTATGTTATAATCTATTACCTATACAGATTAGCTTTGCCATCATAAATAGACAATGTTTTATGATATATATATATATATATATATATATATATATATGATGTGGATTTAATACAATATAAATTTTATAAATTACTTTTTAAATTGAATGAGTATATTTTTATTCTTTTAATGAAATAAATTATATTAAAATTATATCAATATATTTTTTAAATAATTATAAATTTGATTAGAAAAAACATATTAAAAAATATTCCTTATCATGCATTTATTTTTACATAGTTTTGAGCTTCCAAAGTACTTATCTAACATAACTTAAATCTTGGTATTTTTTTTTTTTTTTCATTTTCTAATTTTTTTCTACTCTTATCTAAATTTATATAATTTTAAGATAATTTATACAATTTATATAATTTATTATATAAATCAATTAATAATGAATATCAATATTTGTGATTATATTTTATTAAGAAACATGTATACATTTGTTATAGAGATTTGTAGTATAATTTTAAAAATCAATTGATATCTCAATCAATTTGAATATGAAAATAAAATGTATGTATATATTTATATTGGTATATATATTTGTATACATAAATAGTTTATAATGTTATAACATATATAAAAAACAAAAAATTATTCAAATTTATATTAAAATAATATAAAAATAATGATAATAAAATTAAAAAATATTAAAATTCTATAACTAAATTATTTTAGATTTTTTTTGCATATTAGCAATAAATTTGATAAATACATCCTATATTTTTAAAGATATAATTAATAAATATACTAAATAATAATTTTGTCATTTATCCATTAATAAGCAATGCATTAAGCAATGGTTTGAGTCCTTTTACATTGAATAAATATCCACTAGAAAAAAAATGCCCATATATAAATTGACCAGCCTATGTTTGGCAAGAGCGTAAAATAATTCCATTGGTTAGTGTAGTAGGATAAGATAACCTAGTTACTCTCAAGTTATTCCCAAGTTATCTAGTTACAAGTTTAACCCAGTTATTACTAGATTACAAGTAATTACCAAGTTACCTAGCTATGGGTTTAATTTAGCTATTGCTAGGTTACATAACTAATAGGATTAGAGGATGAAATGAGCCATGGGCTGGGAGAAGACGAGACAAGTTGATGAGACGAGACAAGCTGACAAGGGTTGCGGTGCAAATAAACTTAACCTGCATCTGGCTAATATGGTACCATTTTTTTGTTTTTTCAATTGTAGTAAGGGGCACTAATTAGTATATTGTGTTGTTTTATTTATTTATTTATTTATTGGCTACCAAAAACGTACTCAATTTTGGCAAAGCCAATGGTTTAACCACTAGTATATATATATATATATATATATAGGTGTGTGTGTGTGTGTGTGTGTAAAACTTACATTGAACAAGAAAACACATGGTACAAAGGTTTTACATTTTTCTTTTCTTTTCTTTCCATATTTTCAATCTTACACACATGCACGTGCATACATATTGTCACAGAAATAGAAAAAAATAATCCGTCCTAAATATTGTTATTGATTAAGTTTGTCTCACTTTGTTTCAATAGAGTGAACATTGTCTAGTGCAAGACATGAGAAGCAGCAAGGGCAGAGTGAAAAAGGGTAGGTTGGGGGTGGGAGGGGGGGGGGGGGGGAGCCAGTAGTTATTAGAGCGATGTCGCCCCACAACGTCACTCACTCCTACAGGGCGGTATGTATGTTTGTATATATATAAATATACAGAGCATTTGAATTAAATGCCTGCCTGCCGAGGTGGCACATGGTCCAGCCGCACACGGCGCCAGCCCCATGCCTGGACGCGTCGCGGGACGAATGTCGTTGTCAGAAGAAAAGGAAAGAAAAAAAAAAACAAGGAAGGGAAAGGCCTGCCCCTGCCTGCTGGACCCAACGTCTCCAGCAGCGCCCTACTGTGCCCACCCTACCCCCCCCGTTGCTTCTGCGCCAGGTGCCATATCGGGTGTGTCCCCAGGTGCGAGAATAGCCGAGCCGGCGCGGGCTCTTTGAATGAATGAGTGAGGCGAGGAGCACCAGCATGGTACCCTAGGGTGGTGGTGCAGATGCGCTCTTGACCAAGGCAAAATCCAGGCGGGACCAGCACTGTGCCGGGCCGAGCCGAGCAGCACCGGGTAAAGTGCGGAGCGGGGTCATGGAGCGGACTCCGTGACTGGCGTGACTGACATTCGGACTGCATCGGAGCTCGCGGAGTGCGGTGCGTGTGAGCATCGAGCCAGAAGGGGGGGGGGGGGTGGGTGAAAACAGGATGGATCCGCAGTCGTCTCTCCCTCTGTGCTATGTCGCCGACGCTCTCCGGGGGTGTCGCTTGAGTTAGATCTACTGCTGCTTTACATGAGACGCTGAGGCTTGGATCAGTGGTGAGTTTTCGTGATGCGGATTGCAGTCCTAAAGAGGCAGTAGCGGAGAAGAATGTTGTTGCGCGCATCGGCCGAAATTTGCTGGAGGGGAGAGAGGGAAGAGTTAAGAGGAGAGAATTGAGTCAGTTACAGAGGGTGAGATTGCGCGAAAGAAGTGAAGGACAGGGTGCAGGGATAAGGAAGGAGGGAAAGAAGGGATTGCAGGGAGCCGGAGCCGGTTATTTTGTTGCGCTTCTCGTGGATTGGAATTTTTGGAAAGTGTGGCGATTGTACCATTGGTTGGTGCTTAGGAGGATCGCATAATGCAGTTTATTAGGATGGACGAGACGCGTATGTGGAGTGTGGAAACTCAACACCCCGTGGCATTTTGGACCAGCCCCAGCGGCACTGCAATGTTTTTGGGACGTGTTCTTTCTATGCGCTGCCAATAGACTGCATTTTCCTCCCGTTCAATGGTTTTCGTTGCTGAACGGCGAATTTGAACCCTGGTGTATGCGATTTAGTGGCCAATCCGGGTGATGCTGCATTGTAGTCTAGGGAACTTTGGAAGGCTATTTTCTGTGAGCGAATGTGATTTTTGGGAGGCGCTCCCGATTCTGATGCTGATCGGATCATGTCATTTTTTGCATGGATCATCTTCGACCAATGTAGGGCCAGTTCCCAGGTAGTAGCAGTATATTGTGCTTCGATTCAGGCTGTATTGACAAATTACAAGCGTTAGGATGCCGATTTGTACAATACTTTTCCAATGGCGATTGGATTGCGTTTTCTCTGACCTTTGGAAGGTACTAGCGACGCTGAAATTCGGACCCTCCTTCATATCTATTTACCATACCGACCTTCCGTAAAGAAGGAATATGCTAGTAACCCTCTAGCATTGGGATTCCCCTCCTATTTGACGTAGGAGTTGTTCTATGCGAATTATGTCTTCTCCATCTCCATTCCAGACCAGGTTCGTCCATATGTTGCAATTTCTCTAGTGTGATCTGCAGTTGTTCTTGGGAAAATCTTCTCGGTGGAGGAGAGACGGTTCAGGGTGCTGGGTGTTTGAGAAGAGAAGTCGTTTTTAAGAATCGTATGCGAATCAGGAAGAACTGTTAAGGTCAATTGGCATTGGAAAATGGGGACTTACATCCCCCTTAGAGTGTTGCGTCTTCTACCATTTGTTTTGTGGATAATAAGAGTCAGTCGTGTACGATCGTTGACGTTTCTATAATTTTCAACCTTTTTAGCTGTCTAGTAACTTGAGAGGCATGAGATTGTTGACATCGTATTGCTTGCTTTCTTTTTGTTGCAACAGAGAAACTAATTTAAAAATGTCACAATTACCATTAAAATTCTGGAAAAAGAATCTTGAGGTTTCACCTGAATATTTCAACAGAAATCAGGGTAGGGTTTATCGCATCGTTTACTTATTTCGTTTTTCCTTCAGAACATTGTATTCGTGCTCGTGCACTTCGTTTGGCGCATTGAAGATTAACTTTTGAGTTTGGGCATGCCTGCGTCAGTTGCCTTTGTACTCATTCTTTATAAGCATATTTGTTCGGTCATTACATAATTAAACTTATGTGTAATACTCGTGCAGATTAACATTTGCGAGGATTCAATGAAGCAGACAATCATCTGAAGTTTATATCTCAATAAAACGTGAATTCCGAAGTCACGATATGCCATTCTACCTCGACTAGTGGCACCTCCACAGCGAAGTTCTGTTTTGGAGTTCTGTATCAGCGAAGGATAGGTGCTGAGAGTCTACTATTGTCTATGGACCAGAGCTTCTTTTAAGTTCAGCAGTAGAAGTGGCATGTGTCAAACGATGATGCGGAGTATACAGCCACCCGAGTCCAAGCAAGCAACTACCCTGCAGGTATTAGGAATTGTATTGATTTTATCTTTTCTGTTAGTGGCGTTATTGTGATCACTTCATCAATTTACCTGCAGATAACTTCAACCTTGTTTCATCAATGTAACTTGCTGCAGGTAGCTGTAAGATGCCGCCCGCTTACTGCCAAAGAGAGAATCAAGAGTCGTGATATTCTTCGAGTTGTCGATGATAAGGTTAGTCATCAGCTTTAAATGAACACATTGCGGATTGTTCCTGATATACGTCCCAATTGTTCTGTGATGCTTACCTCATAGCTCAGTTATTTTTTTTCTATTCCTATTGTTGCTGTGAAGTACTGAATTATTCTCATTTACAGGTGGTTGTGGTGCTGGACCCAGACACTTCCAAGGACTATCTTGATCGTGTGCAGAATCGGAGCAAAGAAAAAAAATATACGTATGATGTTGCTTTTAGTTCAGAGGCAAAAAACGCGGTAATTCACTTCCTGTTCAGTAATTGCCACTAATATAATTGATTTTCCTGTTTTGAGTATACTTAAAAAGGGTTGTTGGGACGTATGGAGAGGTTTTACTCTACTTAACATTGAATTAAGCACAAAAATGTCATGCTCTATTGGCAGGATGTTTACAATGTTACAGCAAGTTCAATCGTTGATGGGGTTGTGCGGGGACTCAATGCAACCATTTTTGCTTATGGGGCTACAGGAAGGTAATCATGCTCTAAAATTTGCCATCTTAAGGCTTGATGTTCATACATTGGCTTGAAACCAATCGTAACTAGGTATTAAATGTTGTATTTCTTGGAAAACCATTTTTTTTTCTCTAAAGGCTTCTCGTACAAACCAGTCGTTTCCATCACTGTATCATTAACATGGTCAAGATGAATTGAATGGTTTTAGCATTTGTAGCTGCCGAGTTCTTGTTTTGGTATCATCTTCCTGGTGAGTATTGTAGGTATTCTGAACATGAAATATTCATTAACTTCGTGTTTCTAAATAGCGGCAAGACGCACACAATGGCGGGTACACCGGAAGATCCAGGTCTTATGGTTCTTAGCCTACAGTCCATATTCACTCTCATCTCCAAGCAGGAGGCTGAGTATGACTTTGAGGTCACTTGCTCCTACCTTGAGGTCTACAACGAGGTGAGGATAATGTTTGGGAAACTTGATATGCAACTTAATTTCTGTTTTATTAGTTTTTAGAAGACTCAAGTAGAGTCATTGTCAGTAGATGCATTAGATTACCTTTACTTGAATTCTATACATGATGGTTTTTGGCTTGCAGGTCATCTATGATTTACTGGAAAGATCGTCCGGACACCTTGAGCTCCGCGAGGATCCCGATCAGGGCATCACTGTCGCTGGTCTTAAGCGCATTAAGGTGATTTTTGTTGATTTAATGCTAGCTTTATGGTTCCATCTGTCCCTGGATGCAGTATTTTAGTTTAAGAAAAATGTGGTGGATGATTACTCAACATCTTGACAGTCTGTTCCATGAAATATTGTTTTGCTCTATGTTTCTGAAGAATAATATCAGTAGGAACTTCCCGAGTAGATTACTCATCACTGCACCTTCTTCTGCTACCCTTGTGATCAGGTTAGCTCTGCGGAGAAGATTTTAGAACTCCTAACTCAGGGTAATAATCGGCGAAAAACTGAAAGTACTGATGCTAATGCTACATCATCTCGGTACGTGACGATGCATTGGTACCCGTCCATCAATTGCTTCCTCGATCGTTTCTTCACTTTTTGGTTGAAGACGTGTTTGCGAAGTGAAAGAACATTAGTTTCTTATTTTATCTAGACTTTTGACGTAAAGCCACAAGCTATTTTGTGCCTGACTCCGATTGTAATGTTTTGTTCGCACTATCGTTTTTTCCCTGCATACTAGACCTTTCACATCTGCTTCTATAAACATACTTATCTGTAATAATTATCCGTAATGTTTTTGCACTAGTCTTGTTCTTTCGATCTGTGGTTGTAAATACATACTATTCAGTTTGTTGAAAATATGGAGGAGATTCAACGAGAAGTTCTTTGGTGTGACTATCATTTGTAAGGGAGATAATATCTGCATCTATAGTTCACATCTTCCATAATAATTTGAAGTAGTGCAGCATTAAGAGTTTGGTTAGATCTAGGAGCGTCGACTGTAAGATAATACAATTGGTGATGCGAAATGTGACTCGTGGGAGGACCGTACGGAATGATCAGTTAGAGAGTTGAAATGACAAATGTTCTTTGTTAATTTTCCATCAGATCTCATGCTGTGTTGGAGATAATCGTCAAAAGAACACAGCGTAATCAGCTTCGAGCGCAGACGCTTCGTGGAAAGCTCGCCCTGGTGGACTTGGCTGGCAGGTCAGATGTTCGCTTTCAATGCGTAGAGGAGTTCAGTGCGTAAGAAAGATGCCGGAGATAGAAGCAACGCTGTGTTCAGTATCTATGTAGATTCAGATTGCGAACGATCATACTTTAGAAGGGCAGCTCAAAATTTCCGTGATTATAGTCATGATTGAATTGTTGTTTAACTAGGTCCGATTATTGAGAAAGGCATTATGTGTAGATAAAAAACTCTAGGCTATGTTTCATGGTTATGTTATTACTGACAATCTCATATCCTCAGTATTTTTCGGTCTTTTGTGCATATTGTTTCTCCCACAGTACTTACAATATATTTTTGCTGTAGCTGACACATTTATTTTGGTGCAGTGAAAGAGCTTCAGAGACGAATAATGCTGGACAAAAGCTGAGGGACGGTGCGAATATCAACCGTTCACTTCTTGCTTTAGCTAACTGCATCAATGCTCTTGGAAAGCAACAAAAGAAAGGCCTAGCCTATGTCCCATATCGGAACAGGTACATTGTTCTCAATTCATGATTTTGAAAGTATCTGAGTGGTGAGAATGAATTGTATTCTCATTATCTTATAGCCTAACTGAATGAGTATTTGAGTCCTAATTGCAGTCCCCGAGTTATCGGCGACGCACCGCTGCAGTTTTGATTCTGTGTTTGACTCTCTGATTTTGTTATTTCGAAGTTGTGGAGGCACAGCGAATAGCTTTGTTGAACAGTAGTATATCCTATTGGGTTACGTTGATCAATTAGGGGCCTGATCGTTTTTTGCCGGACATTTGTCCTTCTAAACTCTCCTGCAATGTTTTTACCAGTCAGTGGACTTCATGTTTTGGCCTTGATTATGCTAATGCACTGCCTACTGTTCGATGAGCCTGTGATGATTTGCTCATTTTTACATGTTACATGTGCAGTAAATTGACTCGACTTCTAAAAGATGGGCTCAGTGGAAATTCTCGCACAGTCATGGTGGCAACAGTTTCTTGTGGCGCTGATCAATACCACCATACAACAAACACTCTCAAGTATGCGGACAGAGCCAAGGAGATTAAGACTCACATTCAGGTGTTGACTTATACATCACGACTCATAACTCTATGCACTCTGAGATCTTATGGTAGTGCATTGAACCACATTGAGAATACATCCAGGATTCTCCAGACATCATGGATGTACATGTTTTTTAGGTCAATACAGGCGAGGAACTTCCACCTTTAAGTCAACCTGGTAGACCTGCAATCCCCAGTATCATAGCACGTCACGTGAGGGATAGAGCAGGTGCCTACTTCACATCACTTCGTGGTTCAAGCGACATTGACGTCAAGGATGCCAATGTTAGTTGATTAGTCATTCCACAACCCGCGCACATCATCCCCACCCCACAAACCGACTTTTTCACACCCAAAAACCAATGAAAACAATCATCCACCCACATCCTCCACTCCCCCGACTCTAATCCTTAACGAATGAGTATGCGTGACGCTGTGTCTGCCATTCTAATTTAGACTCGGCAACGCTGTCGAAGAATTAGCGGGTACCTGTGCGGGAGTGTTCAGGTGTGTTAGACTAGTCAAATTCGCACAAATCATTCGCGATATTTGAAGACTCACCACAAGGATTCTTTTTTGCAGACAAATGTGGGAACTGTGGATGCGCATGTTGCAGACTATCAGCAAATGATAGACAATCTTCAAGTGAGATTCCTTTGGGATTTCTTGATAGTGAATTGAAATGTTTTTGGTGATAGCAGAATCCAATTATTCGAACGTTGAGGGATGTAGTAACGAAAGGATAGACTACAGATTACTTAATGGGAACCTTGGAGTTCCTTTTCTAATTCTGGTTTTTATCTCTTTTTGTGTTTGAACATTGTGAGCTCCTGATAGTTATAATTGATGCCATGGACGTGCAAACGGCTAACGCAGGTGGAGGTTACGCAATTGCGAATGGAGTTAGCTGACAAAGACACTCAATTGAGCGCTCGCACGCCAGAGAAAGAGAAGTCGGTGGATGATGAACTTTCTTGGCTTGATGTACTTAGTCATGACATCAATGAAAATGTTGAAGAGAGAATCAATCTACAGAAAGCATTATTTGAACTGGAGGACATGAATCTACACAATCGAGCAGAACTTCAACAACTTGATGATGTTATTGCTGATCCGGTACTTTTTCGTTGCCATGAGCTTTTGGTTAAAGGGTGGTTTCTCCCAACATACATGTGAATATAGTGGAATTATGTGGAAATTCTGAGTAATTGTTCAATCGATTTCTCTTCGTCATGGTAAATAATAAACTGTAATGCTTGTAGCTTTAAATATTCATCGAAGACTATGTCCGGTTTCCTTAATGTTTGCAGGGTTTACGGAGGAACGGAGAGAAGGATGAGACACTTGTAGAAAGGCGTCAAATCGTTCTGGATAATATTCGAGATAATGACGAAGCTGGCGCTCACTATCGTGAGGTATGAAGATTACTGTTTTTATTAGTTATGTGAGTTCTTGTTCATATGTCTACCTTTTAAGTTATTCTGTACAAGAGGTCAGTTCTGCAATTTTTATGTTGACTGTTAATGAGAATTGGTGTTGTAATTTGATCTAATGTCAGGAAATTGAGCACAACGAGGCACTACGTAAAGAACTTCAGCGGCGCATTGATGAAGCAATTGATAGCGATCGAAATAAGACATTTTTGCGCATCCTTACCCAATACAGACTTCTGGTATGTATTTTGTAAATATCAGAGATATTTCATCAGTGTCAGAATGTATTGTTCATATGCTGCACGTGGTTGATTAGTTTTTCAGAATGTTGTAAGCCGATTTTTTATTTGAGATATTAGTACATCATTATTTGCTGCTTTTCAAATATTGTGCATTACATGTTCTAAATTTTCACGTTTACATCAGTTTCGTGTTTTGTTGGTTCAGGGCATGACAAATATGGAACTCCAGTTTCAAATGGCTATTAGGGATCAAATAATACACGATCAGCGGGAGGCTTTGAGCAATTTGTGGTTGGTTCTTGAATGCTCAGGACTAAATCATGACCAAATATTAGAAATCGCAGCTCAGCAAGGTATCATGATTGAAGAGGGAATTATGCCAGTGGTTGCTGGCAGAACGCACGTACCGTCCACGCCGATACCCATCTTGCATAAGCAACCAATCCCCAGTGCTGTCTCAGGAAGCAAATCTCCTGCGGAAGCACAGCTTCAGTATGATGCGGACGCAGCAATCCTCGACACTGAAAAACTTCAAAATCAACACAGGGATGATAATGGAGATGCGAACAGCTGCTCATTAATGACCTCTGCTGCTGATTCGAAGAGTACTTCTGAATCTAACGAAGGGCAATTAGAAGTCTCTGATTGCTATTCTGGTAGTCATGCTACTACTATGTATAAAAACTCTGCTGATTTGTTAAGGATAGATGGAGTTAGCTTAGGTCACCCAAATGGAGATGTCATCAGATCATTTTCTTCCAAAAAGCACCGAGGGCCTAAAACTCCTTTAGTCGATAATAATGATTATTTAGGAACTGTGAATAGCACAACTCAAGAGCAGCCCACTTCTACGGATGGAGATGTAGTGTCCTCGGGTTTCACGGGTCATAAAGTTTTGACTCATTTTAGGTCTAGGAGGAGGCCACGTCAAGTTGAAGGTAGACATCAACGTCATTTGGTCCGTGAGGGTTACGATACCACTACTGGAAGTGAAGGGAGTGAAGCTGAGGCTCTCAACCACAGCCCCCAGGATTATCAAGCAGCGTTCCGTCTTGATGGAGTGAAGGAAGGAGCTCAACAATCAGTCGACCAAGAGTCGCTCTGGGTGGTAAGCTCTCGCGTTGACAAGGATAAATATTTTCTTGCCTTTCTTTTCGGTTTTTGGTGACTACTGGACGTACATGACATTAAGTGTATCGTTCTTATCCTAAGTTTTTATTTCAGAAAGTGAATGTAGTGATGTGGTGCCTCCTACTGAGTAAAATTTGTGTCGTGCAGGAGTTTGAGCGGTTAGATAATGAACTTCAGGGTATGAAGCGAGGAGTCGAATCCCCTTCGCCATTTGAAGCTATATTAGGAGGTGGTCATTCTCAAAGATCTGTTTCGGATGCCTCAGATGGGAAGGATGTTCGACAACTTGGATTTAGAGGCATTTCTGAGGGCCCCATTTCTACCTCTTCTAAGTCTTCAAACGGTTTCCTATCTCCCCTTCATTTTCGATTGAAAAGTTCAGTTAAAAGTAGTAGTGGTAGTCGACATAATCTATCACAATCAAATTTGATGCTTCCATCTAGTAACCCCGGGTCATCTGATGGCCTGGGTTCACATGAGGTAGACGTGACGAAGCTAGCTGGATCTGATTTGAGTGATAACAGTTCAGTGGTCAGCACAAGATCATCGTCTAGTTCGAGAAGAAAACCTAGGTTTAACTCCCTGATTGGAACACGTCAATCACAAGCAAGAGCAGTTATGGATTGGAAGTAATAGACCTGTGCTTTTCAGGATGTTTCCGCAATGAAATCAAATCCAAACAGAAACCTTCGTTCTTGTGGTCGATTTGTGCATTAATTGTCGTCTTCTGTCAACTGGTTTAAAATGAACAGCAATGGCCCTGGACGTGGACATTTGACGTGGGTTACTTTCAGAATCATGGTTTCGTCCAGACTCTGGGCATGACATTGAATATTGAATTAGTCACTTAATTATTCGGTCTGGTCGAATCACATACACTAGAGAAACAGCTTTCTTACCATGTGGAGCAATTTAGAAAATGCCAGAAGTGTCTATCACATACTGTTGACATACGATCTTGACTGAGTACTCGAGAAGCTCTGCAGGTGTGCTTTGCCGTATCATCCCGAGGCTCTTCTTAGTTTATCTACACGAAAGTTCTCATGGGTAAGACCTGCTGAATGTACAAAACCATTCTTTATGGTTTGGGTCATATTATTGGACTTTAATAACAAAATCTCTCTTTTGACTATTTTGTTATTAAAGTCTTTGGTTAATGTGCGTCTTTGGCCTTGTGAATGTGTTCTACTTGGGTGAAATCTGCTTAGCTACCATGGTTTACATGTATAATTGGAGGCCCAGGGACAAAATGGTCATGGATTGTGCATGTCAATATTCCAATGGTTGTTCGAGGATGGTGGAGACTACTCTTGTGGTTTACTTTTTTGCGTAGATTAAAGGCATTCAATTAGTCCACAATCAGTTCACTATCCTTCCTAGGCAGCAGCAATTTTATCTTAGAGTGTTCCTACGGAATCTAGCAAACAAAACCAAACATGAAAAGAGAAACATGTTAAACCCTGTTAATTAGATATTTTATTTGTAAAAGAATTCATTGTCTTTTTAAATTTTACTTATGATTTTGGCTAGTGTTTGATAGTCCTTGATGAGGAAACCTGTGCATGTTTTTGAGTTGGCGATGGCATTGCCAGTGAATGAAGTCGGAGTGAGGGGATCCAGATAGCAAATTCGGTGTGATGTTCTGGAAAGAACGCCCCGGGGGGGGTTTCATCCCTGCAGCGGCTGCAAGCTCACCGCATGTTTCGTGTCTGTTGAGGAGGAAGGAACAGTAGATTTTGACAAGTGGGTATCCATGCTGACGTTCTTCAATGGTCTTCGGTAAGCATGCGCCGAAGATACAGATATTTCTGGTTTTTCTTTGCTTTCTAAATCCTGCTCGGTCCTCATATCACCATCTGGCGGAGTGCTTGTCGATTCACCACGCGAAGGCCATGGCTCCTGGACGCATCACGCTAATGCTGACCTGCTTTTGCAGCGCCTTCATCATCTTGTTCCTGGTGGAAGCCACCACTCTCGGGGACCTGACTTACCAGCATGTCGAAATTGGCGTCAACGCTGATCCGTTCCCCCCCCCCCCCCCCCTCACGTTTCAGAAATTCGTGAAGACTTGTGCGGATTTGGCAGGAGTCGATAGCGTCGTAGCCTTCTACTTCTACTGATCGTTCGTCTTCCGCATCTGAATCTCTAAGAGTGCTTCGAAGCTTTTTGTTTCAGGATGCAATCTTGTCTTTCCATTCCAGGTCACGATTCCCCACCTCATGCAGATGGTCGTGTGGTTGGAAACGAAGTCTCGGATGTTCTCTTTATTGGTTATTTGTGACCCACTCCCAGGGATCCCTCCTCTCTACCCTGAAACCCAGGTTGTTTTCCATCGGTGAAGGATTATACGCTCCCAGGCAATAACTGCAAGAGAAACTGCTGGCCTTAGTATGCTCTAGACTCATTGAATAGGTTTTAGTATGAAGCAGCCTACGTTTATATGCGGTGCACAAAACATCGTCCAAATGAAGGCAAAATGGCCAGTTGATGTTACTCCGCGACACAACAGTGACGTACATGGTTGTGGAGCCAGGGGGGGGGGAGGGGGACTGAAATTATGCACTACTTTTGACTTGTGCATGAGTAGCGTACAAATCAAACTTTCTGCAGCAGGAGTGGATATTCATCCTCCTTTCCTATGCATAAAGCTGCATGATTTGCTGTGTTCATTGCGAATTGTCACTTGTGAGAATGAGACGACGTCGGAGCACTTACTGGAGCCAAATATTCAATCGTATGGCCCTTGCAGCTGCTCATTTATCGCGTGATTCTCCTAAAAACATTTAACAACCTGGCCTTCACAAGTGGAAACAGATCACATCCCGCCAGTGCTGCTGCAGTAAAGGGTCCGTCCAGCCTGTGTCGCCATTTTCCCATGCCACCAGGTGAGCGCCCACCTTGGGACATCAAATCTAGCATCCTGGATCATCCCGGGCGGTTGTCACACTGGGTCCTGATGCCTCAATCACAGGTACTGCTGGTCGACGATTCCCTTGTGTGAGTTCCGAGACGAAAGCCTTTCTTGAGTAGAGTGTAACTGAGCGCCCAGTTTGAGCGATGATCTAACATGTCGAAATGAAAAACGTAAAGCGGAGTGTGAAATTCGTGGCGGATTTTATTTGCGAAAAGTACGTAGAAATTAACAAAACATGCTGGAGTATACAAAAGTACGTGGAAACACACAGAAAACATGTCGAAATACACAAAATTACGTATAAAAGACACGAAGTACAAATACATGGAGAAATGTGCAAGAGCATTCAAGAACACACTATATGTGCAGGAATACATAGAAGCGTGCAAAAATACACACGACATGCACTAGTCCATGAAAGTGTGTAGAAGTGCACAAAAATCATGCAGGACTATACAAAAATATGTGAGAATACACAATTGTAGTGAAATACAGAAATGCAAGCAAGAATATACATAAGCACTTAGAAATATACAAAATATGTAAAATTATTCGAAATAGGCAGACACATGTAGAGGAAAGCAAGAATATGTCAATGTACAAATACAAAAAAAACATATTAGAAATATACGAAACATGGAGGAACATAAAATAATAATAAAAATAAAATAAAATAAAACCAGGGAGGATTGTACAAAAGTTTGTAGGGAAATGTACAATAATGATGTAAAAATAGGCATAAATCATAGACAAATATTACATTTGAAGCATATAATTTGATTCAATATATGTCTATATATATACATATATATGTAAAATGTGACTATGGTCAAATTATTAGTTGTGTATGTAAAATATTGATGCACAAAATATGCATACTTCAAAAAATTATTCTACAATATTATAAAATTTAGTTGCTTGTAATCTATAAAATAGTTTAATTATTACTAAATCCATCTAATGTATGACATTTTCCATGAAATAATCAAAAACTATGTCTTATATTAAGACAAAAGTTATGACATGGTAGCATAAAATGCGGTCTAACAAATTTCTCATTGGAGGGGGTATTGCATGCTAATCAATATCATTTGCTTTACTAGGAGAAAAAATAAACTTTACTTTGCTCTATTTTGATTTATCATTGATATTTGTCTTGCATATTCTTTATTAATAGAATTTGTGTGTTCCATATTACTTAATGTAGGAAAAATATAACAATGTCTTATATTAGAAGGGCCTAGTTATTATAATTCTAATTACTTAATATCTAATATAATTTTAAATGTAGATAAATCTAAATATATATAATAAAATTTATATTAAATAATATTTCAAATGTATAATTGGTGAATTCTTATTTTCTTAGTAGTACAAAAATTCAATCCAAAAAGGAATTAATATCTAATAATTTCTAAAAAAACTTTGATATTACACTAATACAGACAGAATAATTATTTATAAAACCTAACATGAGAATCACAACTTTAAATTTACAATACATATGCTATGAGGACTTCACACACCTAAATGGAACTAATGCACTGTCATTGTATTATTTAAATAAATTAATAAGTAATTAACAGAAACAAAAAAGAAAACAAGAAACAACAATGCTAATTAAAAATATAAAACTGAACATAAAGTTTGCAACTGCATCAAACACACCTTAACCATAAGAACCTACGCCATGCACACTGTGGCTAAACTGTGCACTTACCTATTAAACACAACTTCAACTAACCTTCTAACGATTTGTATAAAATCATTGGAATAGTGTAAAAAAATAAACTTACTAAGTTAGAAAACATTTCATGTCAGAAAGGGTCACATTTCCAATAACCTGGACATATTGTGCATCAACGATAGTGCACAAACACCCACTGTTTTCTACAGTTCCTTCTTCCTGTGGTAAAATGTTTGCGAAACTTCACACACGCCTATTATAGCCTGCCGTTGAAGAGGCTCCGATCCAAGCACCTCCACAGTTACTTCGCAGGAGGTCTTAGTTGAATCTCAGTGTTCGATTTACACAAGGAAATGCAGTCTCAAGATCAACAATTTTGCATGTAATCACATCGAGGCATCGTTCACAGAACCACAGTTTGTCGTCGCCAGAGAACAACCTACATGTCCAGTGAAACAGTCCAGTTTAACGTGCATTGAGAGGCGTGCTCCAGTGCAGATTCTCTGACAAGTTTAGATGTGAGCTCCTGCGTACAATCTGTCTGTGATCACAAGAATCAGGTGGGATCGGAAACAACTAGACCAGAAAGTATAGGCCTCCCCTTGAGTTCCAGATGGTATCATTTCCGACGTGGAGAGATCCGTCAGCTTGCCTATGACGCAGTGATGTCAACACGAAATCATCGACCACACGAGCGTTCAGGTAAAAGCGATGCCTGGCATATGCGTATCTTTTGGTTGGGGTTGCCCTGGTGTTATGGCTGCCAACAGAGGGATACTCGTTGCTACTTCTCCTTTCAGTCCATGTGCCCATCGTCTTGTACGATGTGTTGAATGTCCCATATTTTATTTTAGGTACAGAAAGCTGTCACTTATTCAGCTCTTAACTAAGATACATGCATTACCTTGCCCTTGGCTTCATTTAGTTTGCAACAAATGATGTCCATCATGTTTTCATAACACATCTTGTATTTGTAACATGATATTAGAGTTAGATGAATAGAGTTGTGGATGAAATTCGTTGGATAGAATTTGGATGCAAAATTTGGATGCTTTTCGTAGATGATTTTTTTTGTGGATGATCTACTTGCTGCTGCAGCTTCGTCACCATTG